TTATTATATTTAATTTAAATAAATCACATATTTTATCCGTATTAGCATCATAGCACAGATATCAGATGCGCGCGGTGGCGAAGGTGGATAGCGCGTTTGGCCTGCAAACGTCAAAGGTAAGAAACTTGCAATGGTCGGTCATTGGATAGGATAAAAACTTTTTATCTCGAGCTCTTCCGTGCTTCTGCAGTCGTTAGCACGTACCAACCAATCCACTGGGCCCATTCCACGCTGGGTCCATTCCTCACTGGTCCATTCCGCATTGGGGCCATGCGCACTGGGAGAAAGTAACCACTCCGTTTTTGGTGATTTAGGAACTGTCGTGGTTGTGGATTATAAACGGACCCAGTGCGGAAAGGGCCCAGTGCGGACGCTCCCGGTCCATCACTCACCAAACAAAATAAGCCAGTCCGGCAGTGGTCGCCCAGTTTAGCTACCCACCAAGCTGCCTAGCTAGCTGCCATATCTCTAACTAGTCTGTGCTAGCTGCCTAGTACCTAGCTGCCTTGCTAGGTTGTGACGGTAAATTTTCGCGTCTCCCCAATACGCCATACCCTACGAAAAAGAACTTCGTGCCAAAATCTTAATACCGCGCTACTTTAGAGATCAATTTAGATTGGATAAACTGTTCTTATCTCTCTTAAACTTTACTACAGCGTAGAGAGTAAAACAAAGATGGCATATAGCTCCCGCCAAATGCTAAATGACCTCCAATCAAGACTGAGCGCGCCTTTTGTTTTTGCTTTCATTCGGTCTTGGCGCGTCAAGTGTACACTGCAAATAGAATCTCAATATTTGTGCGAATTTTGAGTTTATTTGTGAATTAAAGGCAGAAACAATGAACTGGTAAATAATAAACATTTCTAAGTTATTATTGTGGTGTGTTAGATAAAGTTTTGTATGTAAATTGTTACATTTCTCATAAATTACCTACAACTTCGTAAGTGGCGCCAGTATTTGTTATTATTATTCCTTTGTTTCTAACAAAAAATGTTATTGTGATTGCTAATGCTATCTATTATTTAATTTACGATAACATACCTACATATCAACATACGTAATAGTCATTATATTTGTATAAATTCCAAGACGCCCGTAGTAAGGCGTCTGGACAGACGGAAATCTGCGGTCATTTGATCACTGTAGGGATGTTCGATATCGATTCGATTAATCGATTAACCGTTTGTAAAATTTTGCGCATTAATCAATTAATATATAAATTAAAATAATCGATGTAATCGTTTATTTTACATCGATTAATCGGTTCGCAATGACCTTCATTATGATCTAGTCAGTTCATACATTAACAATGCCTTAACATGAAACACGTCTCAAAAATCATCATAACAAGCTTCAACAGCCGACAGCTTTGTCCATACTATACCCACTGTTACTTTAGGCTTTAAAACCATCTCTGTCTTTATGTAATAATGTATAACGTTTATGCAGTTGAAGCTACATAAGTTTCTTCTAGATGTCAACCTGGAACAAAATGTTCATGGTGGCAAAAGACCGTAGTCATTAGTCATTTATTCCATAAAAAACAATATTCTCAAAGTATGAAGGAGATCTGTGGGATATTCACGATAATCTTGCCACGGCAACAAATCAAAATGATTCTACTTCGTCACCAGATGACACCGTGTATACCGTCGAGCTACGTCAGTTTTTGAATTCACCAGTAGTATTAAAAAACATTATACCCACTTAAGTTAACTTGAATCTGACACGTAGTTAACGGCTGCCATTGGCAGGTCGGTTAAGGTAACAAAACAAATAAAAACACTAAGATGTGCAATAACTTAAAATAATATATTTATGCACATCTGAAATTGACTATTGTAAAAAGTTTAATGTAAAATATTTCGTCGATTAGTTATAATAAATGTATATGAAATGAATAAATATATATTTATATATGTATACTATTTTCATTAATTTGTTAATTTAGCCTTTCATACTATCAATCTTTTTTAAGTTAAATAAACTCTTTTTGCGTCTGGTTAGACTATCGAACTTAAGGAGTAAACTCCAGTCGGGCGTCGGAGCTGACACACACAATTTTTTTTTTGTATTTCGGCGGAACATTTATATTCTTACAAAATCTGGAATTTTTCTTCGATTAATCGATAGCATAAGTGCAATTAATCGATTAATTGAAATCGACACTGTAGAAATATTCGATTATTGAACAATGGATTACTTTGCTATCGATTATCATCCCTAGATCACTGATCTGCCATTTTATTGAAGCAGTGGAATTATGAGGATAAGACTTCTTTAAATAGAATTACAATGTTCTTTTAAACTTTACTGTGATTGCGCTATAAAATGCCAAATAAAGTAATATTGTAAGGATCTTTACCTATAATGGGTTTAAACCTAATGTGAGTACATGTGTGAGTACACAAGTACAAAATATTTCAATAATTTCCTTTACACAATAAACATACCATAAAAATACAGATAACAATGGTGCCAATTCTGGCGTGATTCTCTAAACTTAAAACTGAATTTAACATCAGTCTATCCTTTTCATTCTGTATGACAAGGATATACTGCTGTCAAATTTAAGTTTAGGTTTAGAGAATCATGCTAGAATCGACACCAATACCTTTTAATTTTTAAATTCACTTAACATCAGGTGGGGTGGAGTCATTTGTCTATCCTATCCTATCTATAAAAAAAAAACTTCAAACATTACTTATATCCGTTATTTTTTATCTCGGTCTGAAGTACTATTTTTGGTTCGTACTTGGTATACTACAGTCGTTAGTTAAGACTAATGCTGTTGAAAAAGCACGGGTCTTACGAGGTTATACGGGATTAGCCCTAGGTACTTTATTCTATACAAAAGTTTCTGTCAAATCTGGCGGGGGATGAGGTACACACCTATAGCACACTAACGAATATGTGCAATACTCAACAAACACAAGCGTGTTATTGCTATGAATGCACACTTCAAAAATCAGGACACAAACAAAAAAACGCACACACGCTAGGAATTTTTATGTAAATATGCAATTGCTCCAGCGTACACAAACACCAAAGTTGAGGATGGGACATCAAAAGAGTGAATAGTTCTTGATAAACGAACAAAATGTTTGTTTATAATGAAATCGAAAATTAATTTAGTATATAATTATAGAAATACCTTTCATTCATTTTATTCACTTTTCGTCACAGCACTATGAATTTCTACCTATTTTAACTTTAAGTAATTCAAAATTCTCGTTTATGATAGAAAACACCATGTTTCAGCAGGATTGAAGTGGCAGATTGGTTTTTGCATGAGAAAACAACATCATTTTGTGAGAGCTCCGACTCGCGACCAACGGAACGATCCAAAATGGTAGCGGTCGGGCGTGGACTAGTTTTATAAACGCACTAGTTTCTTATTATTCATAATTAATCCGGGAAATTAAAGCGGGGTACTGACATCCCTGCCGCAGAGACAATCTAGGGTGTGAGAGTAGGGATGACTCTTAATTGCCTCCTTAATTCTGATGTGTGTAGGCAATCAGGGGCAATTTTCTCTATATCTTGAACTATTTGTGTTCTTTATAAAAACATCGAAGGCATTGTTTTATCCTTATAGCATAGAATATACGAAATATTGAAGCGAAACTTCTTTACGCTCGCTTGATACGAGCAATAGAGATGATATAAGCAAGAGAAAGCAGTGAGCGCGCAAATTTTCTTTCTCATATAGATGGTAAATAAAATATGTATAAACATACATGTGTATATTGTACACACACACATATATATATATATATATAAATATCGAGCTAAAGAAGTTTCACTTCAGTCGTGTGGTCTTATATGTACACTCGTTTTTTTTATTGCAATAAGTGCACATGCATCATGTTCGAATGTCCAATTGTGACTACTAAAGCGAATTGTGGTCATGCACCACAATTGAAACGGTAAACTTTTGAGCCGCGAGTGCCGTATTTTCCTTTTTGTTTTAATCTAAGGTTGTAAAACATCTCCAAGCTAGTTATTTCAATTTTTATAACTTACTAGCGGCCGCCCACGACTTCATCCGCATTTACTTTAGTTTTTTGCGAATCTCATAGCTCACAGAAAACTAACATTTATGCGGGATAAAAAGTATCCTTTATCTCATTCTAGATCATTAACTATGGGTGTATTCCGTAATATATACCAGTGTTCTGGCCAGTGCACTGACGTCATAAATCGACGAAATATTAATAATAGTGCGAATAAAGAAGATTTTTTATTTCCCTCATCAATTAAAAGGGATTCTTTTTGTTCGGATGCCGTTATTGTTCTTAAAATAAAAAAGAAATAAGGATGCTTCTCACGCACGCTCCGCCATACGTCATATTTGTTTTCCCGGTAAAAATATGATAGCATACCAGTACAATATGGCGTCGGATTCGTGACGTCATTACCACTGGTCAGTATACTGATGTATATTTCGAAATACACCCTACATATATATATGTACCAAATTTCACTGTTCAGTAGTTTTTCTTGATTGAATAAGTTGAGCAACAAATATAGAAACATACAAACATAGAAACTTTCACATTTATAATATTAAATAAATAAATATTTCCAACACTCACACTAATTAGCCTAGCTCCAAAGTAAGCACTGTAAGGCTTGTGTTATGGGATGCTAGGGTAACGGATAGAATACATATACGGTACTTATATAAGTATAATTATATTGAAATACATATTAAACGTACATGACTGGAGTACCAATGCTCGTATTCATCACACAAACATTTGCCCCCACCGGGATTCGAACCCGGGACCTCTCGAGTTGGCGACACCATGAAACCCGGCGTACAAACCACTCGAGAGAGTACAGAGGTCGAGAACGAATATTATAGTAGAATCATAGTAGGATTATCTTAATTTGTTATGAAAGCAATCAAATTATTAAACATTAATCAAAGAGTTTTATAAAAGAAGCATTTAAAAGCATACAGAAATGGTAACAAATATTCACGAACGAAACCATAAACGAAACGATAGTCCATGGTTTTTCGGTTTTCTTTTCTCTCTCTGTTTTTGTCTCACTCCAACAAATAACATGGAGGTAGTGCTCTGAGCGCAGTTTAATTTTCTTTGTTTACGTGTCGGTTTCGTATATCGTTCCATTTAATTTAAAAGAAAGAATTTGTTAGCGGTTTATGGAATTATCTCGAAGTGATTTTTTCAAAGTTTCTGTAAGAACTGTATGAAATGAATAACGGGGACATTGGGGGGCCTAGAGGCAGAGGCCGCGGTTGGCAGCAACCTGAAAACCAACCAAGGGAGCTTCGCCGGCCGAGAATCGTAACCGAGGATGCAAGAGGTATTCTAAAACTGAATTACATACTTTCTCGTATACGAATTCAATGCTATTTAACGTCGTCATACTTGGCTAGTTACTAAAACTGCGTTCTGCATAATTACAATGCTCTAGGTGAAAGTAAGAATTTTCATTTTTAATGACGTCGCCTGGTTTGACACAGTCGGCTGTTCGAGTCAAAATTTCTTCGTAATGTAATTTTCGTTTTGTGGGTCACTGTGCCTTTTATGTTTACAACGGTATATCTGTGACATTCAGTAGTTATCATCTGAAAATGACAGTAAGGGTGAGAGAATTAATTAATTCACATTGTTTGTCACCAGTGGAACCTCCTAAATCTAATTTGTCGGCGGAAGCGAAGGAATGGTATCCACCTAATTACAACCCTCAAGCTCAAACATTTGTGCCTGATCCAGCTCCATACAGACCCGCTCGTTTTTCCGTACAAGATCGACTGCGTCAAGCCCAAGATCAGAACCCATACAACTTCGATGATATGTCATATTCCCTCGAAGAAGCAGAGAACATGGACTTACGGGTGAGTATTAAATCTAAGGAAGACTGTGAAGATCTTATTCTTTTAATTTTTCAACAGTTACATTGATGACCTACTTAAAGGTGATTTCACTCTCCTGTTAGTTGATGCAAATATGCAGATAATATTGTATTTAAATTATCATTAGTATGTACTAATTATAAAATAATACCCTGTTAAATGGACAGGAAATAAATTGTATTTAATAATTTATAATTGATACTCAATACTCAATGGGTAAAAGATATAAATTTAAAGTTGTTTTGAGCGTAATAAAATAATTGTATCTCTTATAACTTAAAATTCAAATCTATATGAACACTGTCGCATAAATTATGGCTAAGTTAGTAAAACTGGTTATTGTTTACTTACTGAATCAAAGGTTCCACAATACTGTTGAATGAGACTTGACAGAAGTATTATTTAGAAAAATATTTATTGCATTCTAATTAGTGATATCTAATTTGAAAAGTTCAATTTATATTAATTATAAATATTGAGCTGCAATGATTGGTATATTTATCTATATTCTATTCTGATTAAACTTTTTATGGACTTGCTAAGAATTTTTAAAAAGGCAAGTTATGTTGTTAAATTAATGCATAATATGAAAAAATAATAATCTACAAACCAGTCTTAAGCATGTTGTTCATAAGATTGTTAAAAAAATAATTGTAGTTGTCTTTTCATTCATTATACACATAACAGTTACTCATATAAGTTCATAAATAAATATTAAATTATAAGCTTCTTATTTTGGAAAAAAATTACAGACCTACCTATCAACATAACAGTATGAACTGATAATATTTATTGATTGAATAGGTGTGTCTATAATTTATTTTTGTCTATTTTTTTTTCTTCAACAGGAGAACATTGCCAACTTGATTACTGTCATGTGTGAGATAACATTTGACCCTGGCAAATTCGACACCCTCTGTGGTCCTCTTGTGGACTCTTTTGCCTTGTCTTTGCATGATGCCAGCTACACCAGGCCATTGGTTGAAGCCATTGTTAATCAGGTAAGTTAGTCAGCAAGGTCATTGTTCATTAGAGTTATCCATTGATCAATCAGCACCATCTGTCCTTGTGTGGTTAGTATTCTTCATATCTACTTCTGTGAACATAAATTCACAATATCAAATTTTTGACAAGTAGTAGGTACTTCGTAAGTCTAGGTTATGCTGCTTACTAATAAGGATTTTATGAAAGTGAAGATAACATACTCTTCTAAATTAAGTAAAAATACTTATGCAGAAGTGAGACTATTGATTGAGCATTTTTCTAGTGTGGAGGCATCCAATATGGTATTGACACCATTAAATATGCTTGAACAGATGAATTGCTTGCTTGCAATGATTAGGTAATCATAGTACAAAGAATATGTGCTTGGTAAACTTGCAGAAATGAAAGATTGAACACAAGTATATAAGTAAGATAGAAAATGATGATCCAACAAGACAAATTAGTCACCTTATTAGGTCATACACAGCCTTTTTATTATTTATTTTCCTAATTCAGAATTCTGATGTGTTTTGACTTATGTTTCCTTTACGTCACTCAATAATATAAACAATCTTTATGGCAACAGGTTGTTCTTCATTATTTATACCTAAACCTTTGCAATTTCTACAAATTACAACAGCCCAAACCACTGGACAGATCGGGCTGAAATTTGGCATGCAGGTAGATGTTATGTCATAGGCATCCGCTAAGAAAGGATTTTGATCAATTCTACCCCCAAGGGGATAAAATAGGGAATGAAAGTTTGTCAATTTTAAACCGATTGGGCTGAGACTTTGCATGCAGGCATAAGAAGAATCATAGATGAATGCCATTGTGTATAATACAAGCCTGAGAACAAAAACTGTAGTCTACCCTTCAGCTCTACACTGAAGCGAAGCAAGGGCGGGCTGCTAGTGTATAATAAAGCTTATTATCCTCACCAATTTATCTTAAAGCAGTCACATTTACCAAGTATTTGAGTAGAGTTCTGTTGTATAACAGTGAAATAACTTGCCTATTGTATATTTAATCACCAAATGAATGATTTCCAGGTAATGTAAAATTAGTAGCAAAAATTCAAATCAGTACAAACAATTAACCAAAATTAATTTCAATTTCAAATAGACTAATAAACAATGTGGTATCTACCAATCAGGAAAAATATGAAATTGCTAACTAATGGATTTAAAATTGTAAATCAGTTTAAGCAGGCAATTGGCACTTACTTTACTGCCTAAAAGAATATGATTGGGAAGTGTATTTGGCCAAATGTTTTAAGTGGGCTTTGTTTTAATCGTTTCTTCTGCTTTCGTGAACAATACCTACTCATTTAACAAATATGTAGGTATTGCACTGTGTTTACTTAAATTTTATAGCAGTTTCAGTGTCAGCTAAAATATATTTAAAAGTACTCTTTCATCTGGTTAGAGTGATTGTCGAAACATGTAGCATATCTAATACTGGGGCAAATTAAACGAAATTCTAATTCGTCCATTGTAGACTATTAAAAAACAATAGACACTTATTTTTACTTTTGTCAAACAACCAAAAATTTACAAAGATAAAGCGCATCAAAGTTTGGTCAAAGCTCGTCTAAGTCAAAATTGTACCAAGACGTGACGTCATGTAACATTTCAAATCAACACATCTCTGTAAAGTTTTGATTATGTGGATAAAGAAAAAAATAAGTGTTCAATACTTTTTGATAATTTACATGATGACGAATATAAGAGTTGCTTGACTTTCGAAACCAGTATATCTACATTTATTTCCTTTTTATAGTATTAGTATAGTAGAGATAATCATTGTAATTTTGTCATGCAGTCGATAGGTGAGTCGAACTTCCGCTACAATGGTGCGCGTTTGTGCTCAATGTACGACTCGGTGGCGTCACCCGAGGAGTCCACGTTCCGCGTCTGCCTTCTGGAACGTTGCTCTGCTGAAGAGAGCAAGATCATCAGCGGAGTGGAGACCTCCGAGGAGAATATGCGCGGCTTCGCAATGTTTCTCGCCGAGATTTACACCCAACTCGAGGATAGCCAGGTATATACATATTTAGATAGTTTACCCAGTTTTAATAATCAACCTCCAGTAAAAGGTAAGGATAATTCAATTCCGTTTCTTAGCATCAGTTGTTTTTTTTATTAACCTACTAGCTGTGCCCCACGGTATATTAGGGATAGTTTTCCGCAGTAAAACGTAGCCTATGTGTTAATCCAGGGTGTCAGCTAACTCCATACCAAATTTTGTTAAAATTGTTCGAGTGGAGCATGAAGAAGTAACAAACATACATAATCACATACTTTCGCCTATATAATATTAGTGTGATTTCAGATTACAATTGTTTCAAAATTTAAGTATATATTTATTATTAAATGCTGTAATTAGTGATCTGTGTGCTTTGGAGCAAGGGCCTCCTCCAACCACTTCCGTTTATCTCTTCCCGAGCAATACTGGTCCATGTTATGCCAGCTGCAGCAGCAAGTTTTTATTATAATCTAAATACTTAATAAAAGTATCTACGCAAAAGAACTCTAATAGGCCTATCTCTTACTGGAGTCTGATTATTGAAACTGGCTGTTAATGGAGAATAAACTGCATCCATATGGATAAATATTTTGATGATAGCTACACCTGAACATCATGCATAGTCTTGGCTTGGTCCATTATATTTAATATGTTTAATAGTGGCAGGTTGCCAGTCATCTGCTATTCTAATTATGGTTTTCTTTGGCCTATTGTCGAGAATATTGAAGTAGATAAAAAGTAATTTAATAAAGTAATGAGACAGAGATATAAAGAGACAGTAAATCGGCTAGTTTAAGTTAGACTTTATGAGAATTTAGCGATACAATCATACTACTTTATGTTCTCAAAAAATTATGAATGGATTTTCATGCAGCCTTCGCCATCAGTGAGATAAATTTATACGGAAGATCAATATGCATACAAAAACTATAGTGTAAACTTAGCAGAAGTGATGCTAGGTATGGTCATCAGTAATCAATAAAACCATTATTTTCAGGGTGGAAGACTGAAGTCTCTCGGCGAGAGTCTCTGTAAGGTCCTACTTCATTTACTGGACACAGACAAAGAGACTAATATCAAAGCTGTATGTCAACTACTCAAGGTAAATACTGCTTTTAGTTCTTTATGTTAGTTCATAAATTCGTTATTTCAGTGTTTAAAACTGATCTGTTTCGGTTAAAATGATAACATATACAAAAGTACGTATTTTCACTGTTTCAATATAAATTTGTATAAGAATGTAGTACAAAATTTAAATTATATATATAATTTTTTTGACATTGGGATTTTAACGTACGCAGCTAAGTGCTTGTGCGAACAATCACTCACTCGTGTTTATATATTTATATTCTAGACGTTATACTGTTTGACTTATAAAACTATACTGACTTCATGAATCATCTCTGAAGTCATTTTTCAATTTGACGACTCTGTAAATAATAAAACAGAGAGAAAAACACGGCCCTTGCTGAGTTTCTTGCTGGTTCTTCTCAGTACAAGGTCTCCCGCCGTAGATTTACGAACCGATGGCGTAGCTTCTAGACATTAATGAGTACTTGTAACAGCCTAAACTGAATGATTTTGATTTTGATTATTATGATTATAGAAAATTTTACAAAAAAAGAAAAATATCCTGCTTGACACTTGATCCAAGTGGAATTCGTTCTAATGAAAATTGTTTTGGACTAATTTTTGTGATTGTCTTACCAGTTGTCAGGTATAGCGCTCGACGCCGACTGCCCGGCGGGTATGCACGCGGCGTTCGAGCGGTTGAAACGCCGCGCTCATTTACCCGCCGTCCGCAACGTGGTGGCGTTACGGGGCGCGCGCTGGGGCCTGGCCGACCCCTCGCCGCCCGCAGACCATCGGCGCCGGCATGGTGAGTGTTTTATCTCGCTAGTTGTTAGAGATATAGCGATCGAGCGGTTGAAACGCCGCGCTCATGTACCCGCTGTCCGCAACGTGGTGGCGTGTGTTGACCACGCATGAGCCGACATCGACATGGTGTAATAATTTATATTTTATGGTATTAGGAATAGAATTTTGAAAGTCATCAGCCTATTAATGTCCTCACTGCTGCCACTGGTGTTTCATATGCATAGAGTAGTAGTACAGTATGGATTGGTAGATACTAACAACTGCATATGTAGACGGACTAACAACTGAACATGCCTTCCGCAGCACGGAGAGGCTAGATGTACAAAATTTTTGGCCACCTATCCGATGACCGGCCATTGTGAAACATGCTTAACTTCCTCGATCGCAGACCGAACGTGCTTCCCACTTGAGCATTCGAACTCTTACATTAATCCCGTTTAGAACAAAAGCACACAACATCTTAAGAGATTCGACTTGCAAAGAATGATACATTTATCTTTTTTTGCATGTCGACTTATAGACTATACATAGATGTAGACTTATACCGCCTTATTACAAAACGTACACCAAACTTAAACCTGGACTAAAACAATTGCTGTCACTTTTGTTTGCTAAAATGAAGACAGTGACAACATAAGATTAACTGAGACCAAGTCTAACCTAGGCCCGTATTAATAGATCGCTCTCAACTTGATCTTGAGTAAGATCTTTCTGATGCTGTTTTGTATGAAAAGAGTATCTCAAGCTCGTAGCCTCAGAGTCGGGGTTGAGAGCGATCTGTTAATACGGGTCTTAGTCCTCGTTTTGGAATGAGGGGGCTATAGTATAATTTCGTTTAGGTATGAACGGGGAAACGGACGGCGGACCCGCGGGCGAAGGCGGTTACTTAGCGGACGGACATACGTTAACGGCTGAGGAACGAGCTTTCTTGCAGAGCAATCTGCCTGCGCCCAAGAACGCCGCCCTGGAAGACGATATACTGTAAGCGAGCACATCTATCCCCTTATCTTCCCTAGGAGGAGTTTTCTTCCATTTAGGTTTGAACTGGGAAACAAACGGCAGACCTGCGGGCGAAGGCGGTTACTTAGCGGACGGACATACGTTAACGGCCGAGGAACGATTATCCCATTATCTTACCTAGGAGGAGTTTTCTTCCGTTTAGGTATGAACGGGGAAACAGACAAGAACGCCTGCCTGGAAGACGATATACTGTAAGCGAGCACACGATTTCTATCCCCTTATCTTCCCTAGGAGGAGTTTTCTTCCGTTTAGGTATGAAGTGGGAAACAGACGGCGGACCTGCAGGCGAAGGCGGTTACTTAGTGGACGGACGTACGTTAACGGCTGAGGAACGAGCTTTCCTTTAGAGCAACTTAACTTCCCTAGGAGAAGTTTTCTTCCGTTTAAGTATGAAGTGGGAAACAGACGGCGGACCCGCGGGCGAAGGCTGTTACTTAGCGGACGGACAGGAGGACAAACTCACTTCTCTCCTCGGATCCGCGGTGTGATTTAAAATTGGAACACGAATTTCAAGTAAATTTCAAATCACACCAGCGGATTCTGCGGTGAAAAGTTAGTATGTTCTTACAGAATAGCATTGTCTTTCTTTAAAAGAATAATACTTTGAACAATGATATACTGTAAGTAAGCACACTTTTGTCCCCTAAAGCGTTTATTCAAGGCAACCTTTTCAAGGATTTCTTTCATCCAATCATTAGCAAAAGACTTTCTTCCTAAGGATGAAACAAAATCCGGCCAAAAATGCCGTCTTGATGGAGATGGCGAATAGTTTTTAATTTGAATTGAAATAGAAATCAATCTAAGAAGTTAAGTTCCAAGGGCGACTTGCACTTATTTTTTATAGAACATAATTATGTGCTTACTCCGGTTTATCACATCACATCATTTTTTAGTTCATTAGAGAGGGAGGGAGGCTTAAACATGATTTTGTATCTAACTTATTTTTACTAATAACAAGTAAATGGATCTAGTCCTTGATCAATATTTTATTTTTATTTATATGTAGTCGATTTAGTTAAGATACCTAATTTCTATTCTTGTTGAGAGTAGTTTATTTGAATTGGTCATTATCCTTTCATTTTACGTTATTTTTACGTGAGCTATTTAGTTTTGATAAAAATTTGTAATCTTATCGATAAAAGGTTATTGTACTTGCCATTAATCATTATTTTTATTATTGTTAATACATGGATGATTTAGTTATGATACTAAAAAGTTATTAGACCTGGTATTGGTATTAAATAGCGAAATTTTAAAATGAGAAGCTTATTTATGATTATTTTATGAAATAAAATGTCAAATGTAAAAATATTAATTATGTTTGTACGACAATGTGTAAAATTATCATCTAAATAAATAAGAAGGACATTTTCAATCGAAGCAGTATGAAAGGAAACAGATTTTTAGACGTTTTTTCCAATTTTGGTCCTATAGACCTTTGATTATTTACTCTCTAGATAGACCGAGAGACGCCACCTTGTAAACACTGCTATAAAAACAGGTCAGGTTTTATTTACTTGAGTGCGTGACACGCAAAATAAAAAAAAGGGAATCTTGTATCTTACATATGCAATTTGTCATTCTTTGTGTCTCGGTGCGCATGCGTAAGATTATTACGCATGTGCACGATGATTGTTTGTTAGCAGGTTAGGCCACATTCATTCGTCATAAAAAAATTGGAAAACATAATCAAATCAAAATTAGTATATTGTTCACACAATTAAAATCCAAATTCGAGAGACGTTGAAACATCTGTAAAATTATATTTGGATATTTTGATTTTGTTTTTACCACATATTGGTATCGATTCTGGCATGATTCTCTAAAGCTAAACTTAAATTTGACAACAGTGTATCCTTGTCATTCACTATACAGAATGAAAAGACAGACTGATCTTAAATTTAGTTTTAAGTTTAGAATCCTGCCAGAATCGACCATTATTTACTTTTACCAGTTTATTACAGAAATAACAGTCATGATAATATAGAAAGAAACAGCAATTTTTCACCAATCGGTAATTGACTTGCGTATAGCTAGCTTAGCGTTGCATTGAACACTAAGTGATGGGAAACGACTCAGACCCCACCAGGTGGGAAATATTTTTTTCAACGCATCTGCGCTGCCACGCTCTATCTAGAGAGTAAATAATCAAAGCCAGACCTTTAACTTTGTATCATTATTTACACGTAGGTCACGACTTAGTAGTTAAACGACTTTTCAATTATTATTTTTTATATTTATACAGGGAAGAGCTCGAAAACGACGCTTGGGACACCGGCATGGATGCCGAAATGCAGGCGGGCTTCCTGGAATTCTTGAAGATGTCCAACCAGATCAAGCGATAACCCTCCCCCACCCTGGGCCTCGACGGACAGACCGAAACGCGTCTCCACTGTAAACTAGCGCAGAAAAACTTATTAAACATTTCCTACATTACGATACTTACACACGATTATTGTTCTAAGCCCCGTGGGTCATACGTACATTTATTATCTGAGATATGGCGACTTGAGAGGGTAAATAAAATACATTGATTTGAAGTGAATGTTAATTTTGACATTTTAAAACCCTTTTTTTTATTTCTCATACTGCTTGACTAGATAAAATTCATTAATATGACAAAAATGTGTGTATCTGGAATTTTAGCTAAATAAGCGGTGTGAGTAATGGATGAAATTGGATGTCGAGTGTCATCAACATAATTTTGATTGAGTTCAAATTTAATGTAATTAATTGGAAAGGGGACTGCTCGTTTGTAAGTATTGTACTATAAGAAATGGCTTAGGGAGTGGATATAGCAAGTGACTAGGGTGTGTGGACGGAACGCTTTGCATACAAAAGGTATGATCCTCTTTTATTCTTATATTATTATGTCATATTTTTTTTCGTGATTAAGCAAACCGAAAAGATCTGGTCTATGTAAAAAAACAATATACTCGTTTTTTTTCAAAACAAGTTAGAAAGCATTTATTGAGAATGTATGAAATGAAATTATGAATCCTCAAAGCGACTATGCCTTTGTGTATTCACAGCGGCCCGAAAGCGATCCCGAGACACTTGATAAATCAACTACATTATAAATTACAAAAAAAAAATACAAAATATTATAAAACTCTATAAAAAGACAAGTGCGGCGAGTGACCAACGCGGTGACCACTCTAAGAAAAGTTACGAATGAAATTGTGAATCCTAGAGTAGAGTCAGTCATGGCAGTGTATACGCTTGCCTTACAATTGCCGACTTAAATACCATGCAATAAAGGCGATGTGAGTGACGAATCGTGTCCACTGATGTGGCGTCGACTGTATCACAGTTCACTGAAGCAGTGTTCTCCGAATTTAGGTTTGGCCGAATTGTTTTCTATTTTACAGGCAGCCTCAGTTGAAGTTACCCAAAACTGTTAAAAAGTGCTGACTTTGATTTTTATATTGCTTGATGCACGATTTACAATTTATTGAGACAATTTAACTGTTGTGCTAGCTTGATGCGTGGCTCTATGAACCTTATGATCCTCCTTTGTTTTTAATATTTATTCTCTTGACTGTCAGATCATATTTCAACTTTTATTTCAAATATAAAAAAAAAGTGTTAAAAAAATATATATACATTCGGTTAAACCTGCTTTTGGTAAACAGTGTTTGAGTAAATTAAGCTGGCGTTTATCCTTACACGGTTAGTTGTACGATAACTAATGACAAAATATCGTCACTATGGGTCCATACAGAAGGGTTGCATTTAAATTGCAATTATATAACTGCAAATAAGGATAATTCGATGTTAAGATATCCCAAGAGCTAGTTTGTTATCAGCTGAACCACAGGCAGTTTGCAGATTGAGTGCTTTTGACTTATCATGTCGTCATACACTTTGAAACAAAACATCACCGAAACATCGAACAATTTGCCATAACTTTGTTCCGTGGTCAAAATGCAATAAACTAATAGTAAAGAACTCATTGTTTGCTATTGTAAAACAAAGTTTAATTCATTAAACTTTATATTTCAATAGCTGACCGCTTGATGAATCGATGTTGTCTGTATAAAAGTTTCGAAGCAGTTGTTGTACTAACTGCACATCGCACTATAAGATGCAGTGTCGAAGTTCGCTTGCAGTTCGAATCCAACACGTCTGTGTTGACCTAAAGCCTGAAAGGGTAGTCTGAAAGTCACCCCCATAGTTTGTGATCCAAAAACTTAATGTTTGCCATCGACTTATTTTTATGATAAGCAAGATCTTATAATCCTCTTAGTCTTCTGTCGTGTTAAGATGAAGTCGTTCTGATTGCTTAGGATTTGTTTAAATAATGATGTATTTATTTGTACTCTACACACAGACAGCGTCTAAAAAACTAATTTGTTATATGGGACATCAATGTAAGTACTGGAAATCTGTAATAGAGTGGTTAAGCATTTGAACATGTACGAATAAGAAAAGCTTTTAATTTAGACCCATGGTTAGCTTCTGCTTCAAATAGAATAGATTATGTAAGTACACAATATTTCTTATTTAATGTTTTGGTCTGTTTATCCGGGAGGATTCAGTTGTGTTTACGTGTTGGAAGGAAATGAGCATTTTTTTCTGTAATATGTGTTACATGAAATTTTTATATTCGAATGCCGATCATATTTAAACTATGTAAACATACGTAAACTTGCGGTTTTCTGAAAATCCTTGGACTAAATGTAAACAAGCAGATGCTTTTATTAAAGCAATCTATTGTTTTGTATGATAGGAAAAGGTGCGTATTTTTAGTTTTCAAGTCTGTTGTTATTGTTGTCTCCCACCATCTTTAAAAGGCCATAATTAAGAGCCATGTTGATTCTTGTTTACATTTCGTCTTTAATAAACTTAGTGATCTCATGAGTTTCCTGTTACTGATTTGATAAAATGGGAATAGATTAAAAAAAAAACCAAAAAATATAGTTGAAAGAAAAAAAACACCCTATAACTTCCATTCCATACGAGAAACTTCCACAAGAAAATTTAATATTTTATTTTTAATCTTTTACGCGTGGAAGGGTTGACATTTACAATAAATTATTTATGTAAAACACTGTGAGTCAATGCATTGATTATGTTATTAATTAGAAATCTCAGTGATTTTATTTGAACAATATGATGGACTTAATAATTTTAAATTGCGTGTTTTCTTTAGCACAAATTATTTTACTAACGTTTGCTACATCACTTGCAACACAATGTACTGCAATTTTTAACAATTTGCGCGTGATTATCGTACAAGAATAGGATAGCGGAGTAAGCATCAAATCTATTCTGCCAGATGCCAAACTTGTTGAAGTTGATTTTAGACTTATATATTTGCCTTTATTATGTGAACGGGAGTGATAGCTGCCTCGGATACGATATGAATTCTACTTATTATTGACCTAATTGCCGAGTAATAAATTCGTAGTGTTCTCTCTATATATAGTGCTACCAAACATTCACATAGCAATCTTCATTATATTCTAAAAATAAATTTATTAATAAAATCGCAATCCACATATAATAATATTTTTAGCGCTACTATGTAAGACTTTTTGAATATATTTAAGCAATACCGGATTTATTTATTTGAAGCAATTAGGAAAATGTTTATAATATTCCATTGTATTTTTGTTGCAGTGATATTACGAATGTTATAAGAATAAATGGATATTTTAATAAAAGTCATTTAAATAATATTCTTGTTTTATTTCAGTCTTAATATTTAAAATTCTAAGCTGTCCCATTGTGATACATTGTGTCCCATTGTAATACACACAGTATTGACTTTAACTCTCTATTTCAGCGTATTATGTACTTTTCTATTTTTTCTTGCGCCTGTCAGTTACTTTTTCTTACTGTATAAAAATAATATAAACGAAATAATAAAATAAGACAAACCGGTGCGTGGGACCACAGGCCCTTGATCGCCGGGCATTATCTCACTAATCTCATACGGTTCACATGAAATTTTATTTGTTACGATTGCACTTTTAATATAGAAATAAGAAATGTAACTTATTGCTCTTAAACTTTGATGATATTAAGAAAAGAAAAACGTCTATTTGCGTATCTTAAGGGGTTCTTCCTGGTGGTCAACTTTTTTTAGTTTACGCTAGTTCCAATGATGTATGGACTTTGAAATGCGTTTACTGATAAAGTTGATAATTACGTCACAATCCGATTGTCTCGTCAGCCTGGGCTCCTGTCTGTATATCATTCTCTGCTCGCTTCTAGATACGTCAATGAAGTGTCAATCGTATTAATCCAAAAATTGGTATCACTAATTTACCTAGGTATAAAATGTTCAAATAATATTCGCAGAAGATGCTTTGTGCCATCATACATTATCACAATCATTCGAGAATATTTCGCCTGAAGTCTAATTGGTATCTGGTAATACTTTGTATGGGTTAAGAATTCCATTGGGATCCATCAGTTGTTTGAGGTCCCTCATTAAGTCCAACGTAGTGGAGTCCTTGCTGAAGTGGATGAATTGTGGCTTACGGAACCCTATGCCGTGCTCGGCGCTGACGGAACCCTTAACTTTCGAAACTTCTTCGAATATAAACGGCTCCAATAGTGACAACACTTCTTTATTATATTGTGGTACTGTAACGTTTATGTGAATGTTTCCATCACCTGTAATAATATAAGTAATAATCTTAGTTCTATCATTTTCACCAGCCATTGTACTCGTACCTAAGGTCTATATTTAGGGATATTCTCTTTATTAATTGCTTGTAAAATACAATGAAAAAAGTTTTATCTTACCTACATGACCGTAACCTATAACAGAAGACGCTTTGTCCCCTAATCGCTGTTTCAGCTTAGGAACTATTTCATAATAGTGTTTTTGTGGTAGAGATACGTCGTATTTGAACACATATCCTTCGACTAGAAAAGATGCCGCAATACTCTCCCTTATATTCCAAATAGACTGAAAAAGAAATAATATATAAATTATTTCAAATTTGTGATGTGACTATTAACCCAAAGTTTTTTAAATCAGATCAATCCATAAAGTGGTTAGGTTAGCATTTACATGCATTTTGGCAGGCTCCGATGTGACTGTTCCATCCAATATGAGTCCACTTTGCATCTCTTTCTCCAAGAAACTACTCAACTTTTCACCATCGTGTACTTCATTACTACCATGCGTCTCTACTAACACGTAGAACGGATAATCTGCTATCGGGTTTCTGTAGAATGTAATATTTCAATTACACTAAAAAGCTTTTTGAGGGTACAAACTCGTGAAATGGCACACAAATAATTTGTTACCATCGTAAGATATACATGATATATTAAAAATTTTAAACATCATACCAGTTAATGGACCAGCAAAAACATATCCCTGGTAAATGGGGGTTACCCCCTTAGTGTTTTAACTTTATTTCATTTCTTGTTAAAGCGGCAAAAATATCTACACATTCTATGATTTTAACTGTCTACCTTGGATGGACGGATAGCGGAAGCTTAGTAAAGCGTTTCGATATCATATTTTCTGAATACATATAAAACCCTAAGATAAGAACTTCTACGGTCGTCTATGGTTTGGAAATATGTTAAAGTTTACGGGAGTCCTCTATTCCGCTTCGCCACTGAGGGTGTATTTAACAATAATATATCTTTTTGGAAAATAAATCTGTTCTATATATGCTATTATAGGGTACTAAGGGAGTGCTGATATTATCTACTTACGTCAGGTTTAGATTTTTCACCGTGTGAGTAATGGCTGTATTGTCTGCCATTTCGAAGGCGGACAAAATCTCGCCCAGCGACGATTTCGCACTGTTATACAATTCTAGGATGTTTTCAAAACTCTTTACGCCTGAAAAAAAAGGAAGAATTAAGGACAAACCAGAAACGACTATTGCTTTAAAACAAAAAATATAACTTTTATAACACAACGTGTAAAATATATGATCCGAAATATTGAGTTCCGAACCTATTTTTTTTTTAAATTAAGTTATCTAAATCTTACCGAAGAAGCCAAGCGTAACTGCTTTGGGCAACACAGGGCAGTGGATAGCAACTTTGGTCACGACTCCAAGCGTTCCTTCAGAGCCTATGAACAAGTGCTTTAAGTGGTAGCCAGTGTTGTCCTTCTTCAATGATCTGAGGCAATCTATCACTGTACCGTCTGCTTTCACCTGTGAAGAATTTAATATTATCAATATATTAATTGTTAATAATTAAACATAAACATCCGCTAAGAGGAGTTCGATCTGGTCGATGGCGTAGTCTGCGATTGCAGTTTAACATTATTTTCCTTTCTATCTTTACTGTTCAATCTACGTATTTTACAGTTTAATACGATTTCAGCAGGAGGATTCATATTATTATTTTAAGATTTTTGGGGCTATGCAATCGTAATGGGACTGTAGTCACTGCGACCTATAAGATCTATTGTGACGCGCCACCAAAATGTTTCTAGTTTTTAGAGATTTGATTAACTCTGGGCGTATTATATGTCGTCCCAAATGAATACTTCTTTTGTGGATGAGAGGCCCACATTCACATAGAACCTTCTATGTGAATGTGGGCATCTCATCCACAAACTTGGATTTTTGATGTTTCACGCTCCTGATTACAGTATCTTCAAAGTTCGGCCTGGTAAGTTTTATTAACTCAAAAGTCCGTTTTTCGAGTAACCTTCTATTAGTGATTTAGCGTGCTCTAATGCTGCTTGTTTTAACCAGTATTTTATCGATTCCCCTAGAAGATCGTCCCTAAGAATTTGCATAGCATGGTTTCTAGGGATGCCACAGAAAGGTTCTGGTCTCTTCTGTTGCCCCTTTGTCCCTGCTCTTGCTTATTCATTAGCTTTCTCGTTGCCGATTAACCCTGAATGAACTGGTACCCATTCAATTATTCTTTTGACCCAGGTTATTCAGTATATCAACGCAGTCTTTCACCATTGGCCTTTCACCAATTTCGAGCATACCGTGTTCGAGTTAATGGCGTTAAGCGCTGCTTGGCTATCTGAAAATATATATATGACCTGGTTTGTGTAGTTTCGTTGACGTTTGGCTTCTGCACATTCTATGATGGCATATAACTCTGCTTGGAATATCTATAGTAGCGCGTTTTCCGAGATTCACGCTTTTGTTGAATCGCGGCCTTTTGTACGTAGGTATATTCCACGTCCTACATTTTGACCCATTTTGGAGGGAGCCATCTGTAAATCAGATTAGACTTCCAGCCTTGCAGGATTCATAGTCGTTTGACCATATTAGTATAAGGATTAATATAAGCGAATCCTCTTTTTTTTCAGAAATATTATCAATTTAGAGGGTTAACCTCGGACTGCGTCTGTGTTCCAGCATTCCCTCATACTCACAGCTTCCAGCCCCAGCACTGAACCGTGGAGGTTTCCATAACGCAGCAGTCGCAGTCCCCCAGCGTTTGTACTAATGTTGCCCCCGATTTGGCAGGACCCCTTGGCACCCAGGTCTAACGGCATGATCAGGTTATGTTCGCGAACATAAGTGTCCAAGTTTTCCAACACGCAACCGGACTCACAGACCAGTGCTCCTAAAAACAATAAATGAATATTTCCAACACACACCAATTGGTCGAGCCCTATAAATAGCACTAGTGCTGCCCAAAATTGGTCTTGATCTTGCAGGCTTGGCCTTGTTCTTGCATTTTCGCAAGACCAAGACCAAAACCGCCTAATTTTAGCAAGATCAAAACCAAGACTGACCCTGCAAGAACAAGACTAAGCCTGCGAGACTATTGCGTCTTGCAGTTAGGACTGAGTGTCGTTTCAGGGAGTAAAGGAGTTTGGGTATACGCTTGGGGACTCTTATGAGATGCAAAAAATATGTTTAAAAAAATTAGAAAATTGGACTACCTACCACATCTTGACTGTGATTTTTGCGTAAAATGGCAATTTTTGGCGTTCTTAATCTCAGAAACCAACAAAGTAAAATAATTTTTACTTATTGAGTGCTGCAGATAACTTGGAATATTTCATAGCGGCCTCGCTTTTAATTTTGCTTAACTTTTTATCAAACTTAAAATTGCAAAGATCAATTTTCATAAAATGCGCGAAGGATTTTTGAGCTCATCGATAGCCGTGAGCAATTGCGTTACGGCAAATCTAGGGGGAGCTATTGAGCGTATATTTCGGCGTAGAGGTCTTTGGCGGCGGTGAAAAGATTTGAGGAGTTTTCGTATTTGACGTGGGAGATTAGAATGGAATAATAGTCGGGGTTTGAATGGGAGTTGGCTGCGGCCTTAGCTGCAGAGTCAGCGGCTTCGTTGTCAGAGAAACCTGTGTGGCCTTTGATTTTGCCTAGAGGAGGTGAGCTTGAGTTCGTGCGGCAAGTGGTTGAGTTAAGCTGGGATTCCTCAACTCTATGAGGGCGGATCTGCTATCTGAAAGGATGACGACCTTAGAGACATTGTTGCGGGTAAGCCATAGGCATGCTTGTTCAATAGCCAACTGCTCGGCTTGGTATACAGAGCAGCAGCTATGAAGCTGTAGTTTTATAGTATGGGTTGTCCCGTTGGGCTTATGCACCACGAAGGCGCCTTGTTATTATGCCGACTGCCGTTTGTGTAGATGTGGTGTATGGGTTCGCTGTTGATCTGATCAACCTGATCTTGAGTGGTAATTTCTATGAATTCAATGCCAGTTCTTATGGAAGGGTGTGGGAGAGAAACTATAGGTATTAGAGATTTGATTGGAATGTCATCAGGGAGATATGGGGAAGTGTGTGTTAATTTAGATTTTGCGACTTCTGCGAATGCTAGTATTATGGGATACCTACTAGGGTAACGGATAGATAGATACTGATATATGCATATGTAGAATTATACATATAAACATCCATGACTTAGGTACAAATGCTCGTATTCATCATAATATCGTATTCGTCAGAATTCTTTTATTATCAGAGCAGTTAGACTCTTCAACAATGTAACATCTGATAACCTTGACTTGTTTTATACTATAATAGCTGTTCAAAGGTGAAGCGAATTTTGACAGGAAAATATTTTGAAATGTAGTTTGTCAGTAATTTTAATGCTCTAATGGTTAAAATATCATTTACGTCTAAATTGGTTAGACATTTTTTATACCTATGTTGTTTGTATGTGAGTTAAGTATGTAAGTGTTCTATGTGGAAATTTATTATAAGCATGTGACTGATCATAGTTTTAGTATACTCTGTTTTTGTCTGTAAATTTCTCAAATAAAATAAAATAAGATTTGCCCCACCGAGATTCGAAGGCAAGGCAAATTAGGAAATCGCTTGAAACCCGGCGTACCAACCATTTGGCTGCGGAAGTCGTCGTCCTAAAACACATCTATATTTTAAGTTATGTAGATAACTTCTAAACACTTTTCTGTATATCTAAATGTCGTAGGAAGCTTTGTTTACGAATTCGTTTCGACCTTTGAAGGATTGTTAAGTATATGTTGGCAAACGTTTTTTATTTTCAGTTTATAATGTATATACCCTTTACCTAATTTCTTAAATTTCCCTTTGCCTACCTGATATTTCATCTAAGCTAATAATTTTGTTCATCAGCATCAAGTTAATGACGATTTCGTCGTACACAGGCACTGAACCACCGACCAAACCGGTGTTGCCGCCTTGAGGGCAAACCGCTAAACACTTCTTATTGCAATAAGACAGAATCTGAGACACTTCTTCAGTAGATTTTGGCTTCAGCACTACTTGTGATTGCCCTAGAAAAGGAATTTTATTTAATTACCTATTTAAATAAACTTATGGCTTTCGGCTCATAAGGTAATTATATTTTATAGTTTGATTTGTTACTAACCTCGGCAACTTCTTAGCCAGTCGGTGTTAAAAGGCATAACTTCATCTTTATCAGTCAACACTCTCTCTTCACCAAGTATTGATTTGAAGTAATTTATATCTGAATTATGAACATTTGCATAATTTTTCCTTTTAACATTGTATTTTTCCTATAACGATAAAAAACCATATAAAAAACATATTATTATTAAAATTCCTCAGAGCTCTCAATTCAGTAGGTTCTTAGATTTAAATACTTATATGATTATTGAAGGGCCTAAATATTAGTAGCTTTCCTTTATTGTGAAAGAAGAACTTTTATAATATTTTATTTCGAATATATATGTCTATATTTTTGTGTAATTTTTATCTAGGTATAACCTACATTTAACATTAGTGTAATGGTGAATCAGCAAAAAATTATGATCTAAGTTGTAATTTTACTTAACATCTACACATATTATAGGTACTTATTAGTGAATTACACAGTTTTATCTTTGAAAAGAGTTGTTATGTACCGGATCGCATTTTTTTATCTTGCTGCAGGTAGGTAGAAGTTGTATTATTGTTTAAATAATGATAAATCAGGTAGCATTTCTATATGTATATAAATGAGATTGGCTGAATGAAACAACTAGGTAGGTACTGTCTATTAGAATGTTGAGTAAATATTGTTAGCTGCCTTATTTAACTATCATACTTAATGATTTTGCAAAAATTATTAGGAAATCAAATCTATAATGTTAGCTTTTTAAATAATAATTTCACAAAGCTTTATAGAAGCTGTTTTTTTTTCTTTTCTTCTAATTGATGAGATTAGCATATAGATTGTTTACTTACAGCTGACAGTTGTGGCAATACTTGCGATGCGTACCTTACTTGTGCCAATCCATGTAACTTAGGCACGTAAGCCACCAAGAATCTAAAGGGACTTAACATTTTCGACGTATAGCGTGTACGCGAAACGCCCGTCTTACTGACTGACAGCTATAAAATTATACGTAATCAAATCGTTTTCCCTATAGCATAAGTAATTGAATTTATACTTTAAACATATGAGAGTAAAGTTGCTAGTCATATGACATTTAAACATATGAGAGTAAAGTTGCTAGTCATATGGCAGTTAGAATGACATGACGCTTCTGGTTGAAGGTCGGTTGCGTTAGATAAGCGATATGTAGATAGAAATGTATATATTTATAAATTGTAATGATTGTTTTGGAATCAGATTTCGTGGAATTTGACTATTTCGTTGCTAAATATTTCATTTATGATTGGTAGGTACTTTTAGGTAAAAGGTACATAGATACCACGTACCTACTTACTCTTGTAGGGATATCAAGCCTGATTTTGGCCAGTTGCGTATTGTGCCGGCATAATTGGCCAGCATAATACGCAACTGGATTCCATTCACACTTACTACCTATCAGTCATTACATTAGCAATAGGAATCAGGTTGAAGTATTACGACGAGTGTGTGAGTGTAGCTATTAAGTAGCGATACTCAATGGCTAATAGCTAATAGGTAAAACATTTGTGAGAAACTTGTCGAATTGTTGGTCTAAAGGTTGTTCACTCAGAGATATTGCATTGAGGATATAAATATTTTTGATGCATTACTATTTCAATATTTTTACATGTTATTTCCTTTGTATTTGCAAAAAAACAAAGACTTAGCTTATTTCTAACTGTACCAGGCTGTTCGTACCCCCTAGGGGATAGCGTGATAATATGTAGCCTATATGTTGACCCGACTTCTCAATAATATTCGTGCCTTTAAAGGGTATAGTCGCAAAAAATTGTACAAATAACATTCATGACATCGTAACATACGTAACGTACATGACAGAACGTTACATACATGACCATCATAAAGCTTAGTTCATAATAGAACCTATTATAGTAGTTCTACTGGTACTAAATAGTTCTAGGCCTATGGTGGTGATATTATATTTTTTTGATTAACGTTTGGCTTTAGATTTTTTCTTCATATAATATTCTTTGGTTAGCCCATCTTCTTTGTAGTTTTCGTACCAAGAATGTGTTTTCATGAGTTTCAGCACTAACACTTCAGTGATATTATCATTTTTCGCAGTATCTTTTGACTTCATTCTGCGACGATATTGACTGGCTCGCCACTGTTTTCTTTTAATCTTTTATTTTCTTCGGTACATTCCGTGGTTTTCTTTCTTTTTTTATTTTTTTCTGCATTTTTTGATTTTATTTCTTCGTACTTCGAAGGATTTTGGGTTCGTAACTTTTCACAATATTTTGTTTGCCTTTCGGCATTGGTCAAAGGCATCTGGAATATTTATTTTTAACTAATTTTATCCTACTAATATTATATATGTGAAAGTTTGTATGTTCGTTACTCAATATAGTATACATATATTATGTGTACCAAATTTCGTCAAAATCCATTCAGCCGTTTTTGCGTGATTGAGTAACGAACATATAAACATTCAAAGGATTCTCAAAAAACCAAAGTTAACTCAGACGAAGTCGCGGTAAGGTTATATTTTAAGTAAAATAGTGTAATCTCCGCCTTAGAATCGGTCATGATTGTAACGTTACACATTTCGTTACACATTGTAACATTCATGACACAAAAAAGCGTGCGACAGAACCTAAAATTCAAATATAATTTAATTGCAAACAACTATGGATTGTGACTTAGGGTTACCGTTTTCTGTGATAATACATCTTTCTAAACACGTTAACAGTATACCACAACAAGCAGTACTTACCTTGCAATCAAACATACAAAAAACCATATTTTTTGGCGACAAATCTGAAGTCAACACAAATTACGATTTTTATTCGGAAAAATATAGCCGATTGTTATTTCTGAATGTTGGCGTCTTGCTTAATAGTGTTGCAATTTATGAAAATGGCAAAAATTACCAAATCACATAAAGGAAACTGGTAGAAACAAACGTTACATTCATGACGTTACACACTCATCATAAAATTGGACACTTTTTTAAAAACAATTAAATATGTAACTGAAACGCTATTTTAATAAGCACGTTTAGAAACACATTGAGAAAGTATCATAAAGCATGAGTACAATTTAATGTTTACAAAAAACTATTTTTTTTTCGGAATTATTGGCAATTTTTGATACAAAGGTTGTAGTTGGACAAACGATTTTTGTATGGGAGTGAAAGCAGTACTTTTCAAATTATATTTTTTTTACATATATTTTTTAGGGATGGTAGGTTACATTTCGTCAAAATAATCTAAACAGAAGCTCGTCATTCAGAACAATGTTCAACAAATGACATTTATAAAATAACTTCGAAATTATGAGAAAAATAAAATGAGGACAAAACGAAAACGATATTTGTACAATTTTTTGCGACCATACCCTAAAGTGAATTCATGCAGTACTTTTTGAGTTTATCCCGGACATACATACAGACAAACAGACAAAAATTCTAAAAACTATTTTTGGCTTCGGTATAGACTGTAGATCACACCCCAAGTATTCTTTTAAAAAAATATTCAATGTACAGGTTTGATTTTCCTACCATTTTATTATATGTATACATAAGAAATAAGAATGGATGATTTATATGCTTTATTATGTTACGTGGCATATATTGGGTCACCTCTCAATCTTGTGAGGGATATGGCGCATGTGGCGGAGCAGTGCGGGTAACTTAAAGAAAATGCAGTTTTTTCTTTAAGTAAGTATTTAGGTAAAAAAAATAACATCAAATTGAATTGAGCAAGCATTTTATTGGCTGCGCTTAAGATAAGTAACCTATGAACACATTAGAAAGGCGGAAGCCACACTTGGAAGTGCTTGCCGCAGTCGAGTTTCTTGTGCAGCGCGCCCTGGAACGCCGCGTCGCGCGCGGCGTCACGCGGTGCGCGCGCGTCCCTCCCATCCTCGCGGTACACTTCACGCGCGGCGCGCAGAAACTTCGACACTTGCGCCACGCTGTCACGCACATCTTCCACGGGCATCTGAGGACGGACACGGAAACACTTCTTTAACGTATAGGCCACCATTCATCGCGACAACCCTAAAGAACTTAGGACGAAGCCGCCGTTGCTTCGCTCACTCGGCTATTGCAAAACTCGCCAATCAAAGGATTTGATCGCGATGAACTTCGCTTCCTTAGTTACTACCCACGTTATCTCTCAACATCAGCTAGATCCCTAAGGCGGTCGTCAATACAACTCCCATTTAGTAGACCTGAGTAACAAAGTAGGACATTTACCTACTTTATAATAGTGCTATACTTAGTTGGTCTTTAGCAGGCAGCAAGTGCGCCGACGCGACTCACGGCGTGGTCACAGCGCACGCCGTTCCCCTACGAGTACCATAATATTTGCGTAGGCTGGCATTTGGCATAGTTAATCCACCGTTGCCTATCTCTTCCATCTCGGAGTCACTCGGAACATTCTATTAAACTGTAATAGTGATGGATGAGTAAGATTCTATACGCACTTGGTCCTCAGCAGGCAGCACGTGCGGGTAGATGCGCACCCAGTCGCCAACGCGGCCCACGGCGCGGTCCCAACGCACACCGTTGCCCCACGAGCACGCACGCAATATCTTGCGCCGTGCGGTCGCGGTCGCAGTGGTGGTAGGCAATCCACCACGACACGCCTCCTCCATTTCGGAAGCTACGGCCACGCTGGACTTTGACTGCATTCAAAACAAAGCCCCCTTAATTATAAGTTGCCTAAAGTAAAAGTCGGTCTTCAAAAGATACTTCGTGCGTATCTCACGCTGCTTCTACCTGCGTCCGGCCATGAGTGGTTGGTGGGATTTGTCTCTTATGTTTGCTAAAGAGAAGACAGATACAGCATTAGGTTTAAACCAAGTTAAAATATTGATATAGAGAGACAGCGTTCCCTGACCAACTGTAAACCGGGTATATAAATGTGAGAGAGACGAAGCGATGGGGTTGTATATAGTTTGGCTATGTATTGACTGTTTTCTCTCTTTCTGGAGTTGTCAATTTATTGCGGGTGGCGCTATGTACATTCTCTATGCCTCTTCGCCTTATTACAAAACGGTGTCTAAAATTAAACCTTGTCTATATATATTTTTTTTTATTATATTTATTTCTTCTCTTAATTCCAGTGGTCTGATTTATGCGTTACGTGTTCTATTTTAGTTTATTTATTGGTTTGTCAGACCTAGTCCCGGGGTGACGCTATTCCATACGTCTCCGGGGGCTGGGGCTGAGATGGAGCATTGTTTCCTCGAGCCCCGATTCTGCAAGTAACATCCTGGTAGGAGGGGGTGAGGCGGGATGAGGGTCTGCCATAATGGTGGAGGAGTTTGATACCGGTGCAGCGAGGTGCAGAGTGTGGGCCTTGTCGATGGTGACGAAGGTAGATAGGCTCGCCCGGTGGAGTCGCTCAATTCGCTCCCAAGTCCGGGTGGCCACGCGGTTTTCTGTCACTACTGTTCCCGTCGCAGTTGGGCCCATCCCAGTCTCTAGTGCCGGCCTTCGTCCTCCGACGTCTGGCGACCATTGCCATTACCCCTCCCTTTACTGGGACTATGACTTGCATGCAGGGCAGGAGGGATACAGTGTCCATACTCCTATTCATTCTCCAAAGTAGTAACTTACGTGTTTTGATCTGTGTATTTATCTGTATTCGTGTATATATTTATCAAATTATCGTTATGTGTATCCGTGTATATATTTATCTAGTTGTTATTCTATGCATCTCTGTATATATTCATTTAGTCATCATTATTGTTAGCCTTAATATTGGAATATATGTGGGTGATTAGTTTAGTAAGGGATCTGATGAGAGCGGGCTTATCCAAGTTTGGTACAAATGTGAAGGGGGGTTTGTCTAGACTACGAGCGAATTCGGTATACGAAAATCGCTGACGAGCAAACCGTGGGCATGACTCCAGCAGATGAGTAGGGGTTGGGGGTATTGCGGGGTCACAGGGACACGAATCGGAGGAGATGATTTTAAATCGGGCGAGGTAAGAGCGGTGCGCCCCATGGCCACTCAAGAACTGAGTGAGGTGAAAAGAAGTGGGTACAATGGCGCAATAGTCCGCGATCTGTTTTACCTCTGGGAAGATACTACGGGTGTATGACCCCTGGGTAGCGCCGGAGTATCGTTCCTGCCACTCCGCCATTGCTAGTTCTTTCGAGTGCGCTTTTGGATATGATGTGGGAAAAGCACTGTATGTGGGAGTCCTGTGAGATGAGGCGGCCTCGCCAGCAGCGCGATCCGCCGCTTCGTTGCCGCACACCCCAGTGTGGCCCCTGACCCAGCAGAACCTGATGATTGATTCCGGTGAGCCGGTACTATGTATTGTTCTATGTATTGCGGCGATAGTGGGGTGACAACTACTGCGGCGTTGGATCGCCTCCAAGAAGGACTTGGAATCTGAGATGATGAGTGCGTCTGCATATTTTCTCTCCCGCGCCAGCTCGCATGCCCTTGCTATGGCCAGCAACTCCGCCTGGAATACAGTGCAGGTGTTATGTAGTTTGTATTTTCTGATGGTAGTGGACGGGTGGCGGTCCGGGTCCACGCACACTAGTGCTGCTCCCACGGATTAATCCTCTAGTCGGCTACCATCACTGAATATTTGCACTGTATTTTCACTGCGGTTGCCCTGTCTATGTCATTCTGTGTAGGAGGGATTAGGTAATTTGGGGAGAGTCTGCTAGCCGGGTGCAGAAGTTCCGCCACCGCCACTGGCGCTTCCCACTTCAGGTCATCAGGCAGATATTATGTAGTGGTCCCCGTGATCCTCACCAGCTCCACCTCGCGGGCGCGCTTCACCTCTAAGTCCAGTGGGAGGAACTGTGCTAGTGCCAAGGAGGCGACAGTGGAGACGGTGCGGTAACCACGTATGGCCCGGAGGGCGAAACCTCTCTGCAGAGACCCTAGAGTTTTCTGGACTTCTTTTTGGTCCGCGATATGGCCCCAAACACATGACGCATAAGTGATGGTCGGTACAATTACATATTTGTATATGGCCTCAATGTTTTCCAGGTGTGCCCCCCAGGATGGTCTTGTGAAGAGGGAGAGGCGGTTGAATAGTCTGAGGGCCTTGTCAGTCACAAACTTCAGATGCTTTTTGAAGGTTAGACGGTGATCGACAATGACCCCCAGATACTTCAGTTCCGTCGAAAATGAGATATACACCCCCTTCATGTGAAGTCTGATATCCGCTGCTCGCCTCGAGAAGGCCAGTGTTTTGGTCTTCAGTGGGCCGAAGTTTAATTTGACGCTCTGTCCCCAATCCGACACAATGTCCAGACGATCTCTCTTTGGCGGAGCCAATGAGTAAGACGTCGTCCGTATAGGTCTGCAAATACCATCCCGCAGGCAAGGGCAGATCGAGTAGCTGGTCGATGATGAGATTCCAGAGCGCTGGACCGCAGGCCGAACCCTGCACACAGCCTCTCTGGGTGCGTCTTGTCTCACTCACCCCGGCGATCTCCAGTAGCACTTCGCGATCGTCCAGGTAGCTGTCAACGAGTCGAAACAGGTTGGCTGGGCAGCCTACCTCCCTGAGTCTGTGAAGGATAGCTGGCCACCAAGCTCTGTTGAAAGCCGCCTGTCAACCATCATGGAGGCAGGGGGCCTCTTAGGTGCACCCGATCTGATGAGTTTGTTCGTCAGGCTCCAAACATTCTCACGACTCTGCGACTCACAGAATCTTCTGAATTGAGATGTGGCTTCTCTTCTGATGGCCTCGGAGTAACCGGCCTTGAAGTCTGCATGGTGATTAGGCAGTCGTTCGCACTCGGATTCCGTGACCCCTTCCTGCCTAGCTCTGTGGAGATTCTGATGAGAGCGGCCGATTTCCTTCTTGAGACGGGACAGTTCCTCAGTCCACCTGGGCTTTTTGAGAGGGATCTTCCTTCCTCGTCTGATGATCGGAAAGGCCGCTTCCGCGGCTCGTTGTATGACTGAGGTTAGTTCGGCAACAAAGGCGTCAATCCCCCACTGATCCAGTTGGTCGATCCTCTCGCGCTCCAGGTTAGAATCCATGATGTAGTTGGTTAGGGCAACTTTGAAGGCACTCCAATTCGCATTTTCAGGAATCTTATACCGGTAGGTAGAAGATTCCTGGGTGCTCTCAAGCGATTCCCGGTTGACCAACAAATAGTATTCAATGAGCCTGTGACTGCAGGACGCTAGTGCATCAGGTTTCACCTGCCAGTCCCTGAGCATATCGGTTACACTGCCGGAAGAGAAAGTAAGGTCGATGATGGAATGGCGAAGTCTGCCGTGAGTGATGGTTTCAAATGTGTGGACGTCCCCCGTGTTATGACAGATGAGGTCATGTTCGTTGATGAGGTTGCATAGATCCTCGCCTCTCCTGTTTCTTCTGCCTGTTAAATCCCACAGGGGATGCCACCCATTAAAGTCCCCCCCAATGAGGCACCGAGGGTTATCCGACTCAGACAGAAACCTCGCCAGCTGCGCCAATGTGTCATGCGGGTCCTGTTGAGGCTCGATATACACCGAGATCAGGTATTGTGGCTGATTGTTGACCGTCACTTGCACTATTACTAGGTTGGGCGTGGAAAATTGCTCAACGAAGATGGCCTGTATTTTGTCTCTAATGGAGTCCTTAATGAAAATGGCAGCCTTAACCCTCCTGTTGGACTTTAGATCCTGGAAGATGCTTATGCCAGGAGAGTTCTTTACGAAGGCGCCACTTCCGGTGTAGGGCTCACTAATCAGAGCAATGTGTCTGATAGGGTCGTGAAAGACATTAAAGAGCTCTTCTGAGCTCGCAATAGAACGGTCCAAGTTAGCTTGGATTATGCCTAGCCTAAAGTTCGGGTTCCTACTAAACTCAGTCATAATCAATTTTTTCCATTAAACGTGAGAGCATGGCTTGATATCTGGGGCATTCCTGGTCAAATGATGAGTGTTTGGTGGAGTGATCCAATTTGAATCTCGAGTTGTGGCTACCGCAATTAAAGCAAGTTAGGGGTGCTTGGGCGAGTGGACAGTTGTTCTTGGTGTGTGTGGTGTGGTCGTCTTTGCCACAGTGGGCGCAGATTTCTTGACCGGGGCATCTGGCAGAGGTGTGACCGAACTGGGCGCACTTCCTGCACTGTATGAAAGGCACAAAGTTTTCGCAGTGCACCCTCTGGAAGCCGAGGCGCACCCGGCCCATTGAGATGAGAGTCTTCCACAACCCGGGAAAGGCCTCAATAACGGCATTGAACAAATGGGGGTTTCTATTGCGACGCAGAAATCGGACCTTCAACCCATCCTTTCGATCGCCTGAGTCAGCTAGCTCCGGGTTGTGGTCCCAGATTTCATCGATAATGTCATCTTCCGGTATGTCCTTGGTGATTCCCTTGAGTATGACGAGAGGACGAAGCTTCCTTTCTTGACCTCGAGTGCCCACTAGCATTGATCAGGAGGTTGATTTCCTCCCTATGCTCCTTCTGTTCAAATTCTACCCTGAACTTACCCTTGGACAGCTTCCTTAGGTTAGTCGGGGTAATCTTCTTCGTCGTCTTTCTGAGAGCGTCCTTCACGGCCGAAACTGCAACCTCCCTAGTGGGGTCCTCGACCCCCGGGAACGACATGACAAGGGCATGTCCCTTGGGGCGTGAAGCGGAAGCAACCGCTCCGGCAGCGTCAAGACTTCGAGACTTAGAAGAGAGGTGTGGGATGCCGTTCGATGACCTAGATTGTTTGGTTATGTGAGCGTAGGAGGGGCCCCCACTGAAGCCCGGGGTAGCAGCGCTGAATCTCCCCATCTCGGAGCGAACCGCCCGGGCAACGGCTTTTTCCACCAGTGCGGGTATGCTCACCGAGAGGTCTGCTCCCTGCATGACTGGTGGTCCACCTCCTCCTCCAGGACCAACAGCCTCGCAGTTGCACCCAACCGCAGGTGCACCCGCTTTGTTGCCGATTGCGATGTTTCTCAGCACCGTAGCTGCCTTCACTACATTCGCCGCAACCCTGTCCTTCATGGCGCGCGTAACGCTTTTCTCCGACGCCAAGATCTGAGGAATGCTCTCCAGGAGGCTGTGTAGCTCCTCATATTGCTGGGGGTTGGTAATGCCTTCTAGGTCTTGTTCGGTCAATTTGGGTAACTGGTTTACTGTCTCGGTGGCCGCTTTAGCTCTAGTGCTACGGGTGACTTTTTTCGCCTTGCCAGCTGTATTGAGCTGCTGGGAGGCTCCAAGGGAGTCAGTCGTCTGAGACCCCAGGCTGCCCGATGCAACATAGGGTCCAGTGATCCGATCCCTCAGACAGGCGCAGGGGAGTAATGGTGACCACCGGGGTCAGAATGGCAGCCGGAGGTGACTCGGTGATTCCCCCTCCATCTCCACGCCGCCAGTCGAAGGACGACGCGTAGACGAGCGACAGACAGGCATGGCGCTCGTAGTTAGTTTTTCCTATCAAGAACCAAACTGGGCACGTGCAAGTGCCAAACTAGCCTATTCTAGTATATTACTGCATAAAAGAATCAAATTCGTCGCAAGAATGAAGAAATATCAGGTTAGGTTTAGCAAGGTTAGGTTAGGTTTAGCAAAGTTAGGTTAGGGCAAAATTTTCTATGTTAAAAACCTCGCAACTTTTTAATCTTATAACCTACAATTATGAACTAAGCGGTGATAGAAACCTTAGATTAAGAGAGATTTTTCCAGTTTTCGAAAAATAAATTTATGTTAATATTAAACTTTTTAAACTAAAATTAAAAAAACAAGTTAAAAATTTTATACTTTCAAATTAAAAATACTTAAAACTAGAAATTATTAAGTTTTGCCACTTTAAATGATAGATCTTACTGAACTTAACTAGCCTAAATAAGAATTATGAAAATCTAACTAAGAACAAAAAAGTTATGAGTGTTTAAAGAATTCAAAAATAATTTTACAAATTCACCCTTAAAAAAATTATCTCTGGGTGTTTATCGCTCAGCTTGGCACAGAATATGCGTCTAGGTGAGACGAATCTTATGCACTAATTAAATCTAACCTACGACTAAAAATGAAATTTTTACGAATTATTTTAAAATTTACAATTTGTTAATCCTATACAAAAGACATCAACGCGTGCTTTGTTTACATGAATCTTAAGAAATTTACTACCAAATGTTAGAAATTGACAAAAATTTAAATATTTTGAAAACTATTAAAGCTGAATCTATTATTTAAGCGGAATAAGGTGAAACAAAAATTCTAAAATGTGTCTACAAAATTTTAAATGATTCGGAGTATTCTACCTGATCGAAAAAAGGCTTATCTTGTCTATATTTGATGCTGTCAGTTTTGTTTGCTAAAAAGAAGAGACAAACAGCAACCAAGACGAACTCTAGTCGAAGTGGTAATGGGCGGGGTACATAAACTTTCGGCGGACCGATGAACTTTGGGTCCCAAGGTGCTTTAATGGTACGCACCGGGAAGTGCTAGCTACGACCATGCCTAGTTTACTTAGTTTCGGGCTTCATGAACAGCTTTTTAAAGTGATTATCGCTTTATTGCTTTGCTTTCAATCTTCGTGCTTACTGACACAGTCAGTAGCACGAGATACAGTTGTATATTTCGTGATCGTAAACTAACAATACAAAATGGTAGCTCTAAAAGTTGGATAATGTAGGTAGGTTTATTATTTACCTGAACATCGGAGTTATCAACTGTCCCCTCAGAAGGGATTTTGCAGGACCTTCCGCTATTCTGTTCCTTCGGTTTTTCAGTCATGTCCTGCAACATTCAATATTTCATTAAATGGCAGAAAAATATTTGAAAAAATTAACAGTACACGAAGCCTTAACAGTTTTTTGCAAGTACCTTTCCGTTTGAGGTATCTACTGGAAAGTTCAATATGGAGGAAATTGAAGCTAAAATCGAACATACTTGTGTTTACATATGATTACAGCTTGCATTTCATTGCACTGGCACAACATGAATTAGATATGGGGTGTGACAATGGGTCAGTGCATGGCAGTTCCTTAAGTATGACTTTCTTGCCAGGTATAAGACCTTGTTATACTTAGAAGAACTGGCGAGAAACCTCTCGCAGTAGACTTGAGAACCGATGGCCTAGTTTTTCGACTTCTAGTAGTGCTTGTAACAAACAGCCTTAACTTTGAATTTGTAGTCCTTCGTATTGACGAGTGAGTAAATGTAAGGTGGTGTCCTAATCGGTGCGTTCTCGTTGTGTGATGATTTTCAAACAAAGATTTCTTCAGAAGTGTCTTATCCTAATACAGCTCGCGTAAACGGTATCATCGTACGACGCCTACGGTATCGTACCGTATAGTTAGGCACGGGCGGCACTATGGTGACGCAGTGGACGGGCAGCGGGCGGCGGCGGCGCCAGCGCCCGCGCCGCACACCAGCTGCGCCCGCACCCGCGGTTACAGCCCGCGCCGGCGCTGTCTGCGCCACGGCGCCTTCGTCCTCGGAATTGTAACTGAGAAAACACTAATATTTAACACCTTTATATCAACTGTATTTGTAAATAAATAATTGATTGATTGACTAAAGTGTAACCGCGATTTTATTCGTGCGGGACGAAGAAAGAATACAATACTATTTACCATAATACCCATGGTGAGAAGGTCAAAAATAAAGGTCTCCTTACCATGGGTATCGTAAGAATGGGCTAAGGGGAATCGGAGCTTTCCATCCACTCTACTGATGGTAGAGTGCTCTAAAGCCCATTGCAACATCGAGTCTCTACTATTACGTAGTGATATAGCGTCATTAAGCGCGTTCTAGCGTCACTACAACGGCGAGTGTTCAAATTTGTTCTTCCTTATCCTTCCTTCCTCCTTCACAGGACCACACATGTAGGCCTACTTTGTCAACGAGTTACTGTGGTAAAAACGAACCATGCTATCTAATAATCGCTGTGAAAACACTGACCACCGGTTATTTATATAGTTTTTCCCTCAAGAAAAACTCCTTTTCTCTGTTAAAGCTTATGTTTAGTTTATGATTGTCTTTTGCCATTACGCAAGCGATATTGAGCAACAACATGGTTACAGCCCTTTTATAAAATTTGGCTTGAAAAGGAAACATGGATATGAATGGAATCATAATGTTGTTTTGTTCTTTTGTTTTAATTAACGTGACAAAATCTAAAAGCACATGTCTCCTGAATTGCGTTTAATTTCAGTCAATGGAGTTTTAGAAACTTCCTAAATGACTGTTGATTTTTATAGTATGAATATTTTTCTGACTTGTGTATATGGGAAGGTCCGCGTAGTAGCGCGAGCCCAGTGTGCCTCATAGGCATGCCCAGCAAGTCGAACAGTTCATGCAGCATTGGCTGCTTCACTGTGATGTCGGCTTCGCAACTCGCTCCCAAAGCTGGGGACAGATTGACCTGTAACGTAACACTTAGATTAATATGGTACAAGACGTGACCTCTCGAAGTAAGGTTTACCAAACGCCCGACAGGCCTTTATTACGTAAGCTACAGCAACTTGTGATCAATATGTGACAGATTTTCTTATCTAGTTTTTTATTAGCAGGAAAGTGAGCAGTGCTTGGATGGGCGACTGAATGCCATGCCACGCGAACCATCACTGTCATATCGATAGATTTACAATTTGTACGGAAAAGTTACCACTTGACGTCTTCGGTGATGACTTAAGATGTCTGAATACTTGAACACTCACCTCGATGAGCCACGGTTTCAGAGAATTGTTCAGCAAGGTATCGAAGCCGAAGTCGTAGCACTTCCTCGCAGGCGGTGTAACGGTCACTTGTGCCAGTAGAGTGAGTCTCACCAGCACGGGAATGACTGCCAGGAGAGCCAATACCGACTTATTTATAATTTGCACGGTAACCACTTGGCACCTTTGGTGATGACTTTAGAATATCTGAATAACTGACCACGTACCTCGATGAACGGCTTCAGTGCGTTATCCTAGAAGATATCGAAGAGGTAGAATTTGAAGCAGTTACTCGCGGGTGACGTCTCGACAGATTATATATTTGACAGACTATATATATTTGACAGACTTTTACTAGTTAACGGAAAAATACCACATGGCGTTTTTGGTAAAATATCTAAGGACCTCGATGAGCCACGGCTTCAGAGAGTTGTCCAGCAAGACATCGAAGCCGTAGAACTCGAAGCAATTCCTCGCGGGTGGCGTGCCGGTCGCCTGCGCCAGTAGAGTAAGTGTGACCAGGGCGCGGATTCGTTGCCACACCAGCCACTCGGCTGCACCCCACCGGCCTACTAGCGCGCGCCGCACTTGCTTCAATGTCCATTTGCATCCTGCGAACGATCGCAGCAAATTTTTCAGCCAGCTAAACCATCATTAATTTCCGAAGCCACCATATATCAATGTAATAGCCAGTATATCAAGATTTACCCGAGTAGAGTACAATTTTATCATTCGTTTTAACCCTTCAGAAAATAAAGGACAAAGGTTCAGTTCTAAAGCAACTAACATTTCCTAATTTTCTAGTTACTACTAAGAAGACTACTTATCAATATTATTTCTTAGTCAAGAACTGATTAACCTTCGTTCAAACTTTATTAGAGATTAATTTCCAGCAATCTCTTTTCAGTAGTTCTAACTTTCTTGAACGTTAAAGACAAAGGACATTGGGCAAAAATGTATGGACGCTGCACCCACGTCCGCCAGGGCTAAAACTACATTTGTTTGAAAGGTATTATAGACATGATCATGTGTGCCAAAGCGCATCAAATTCCATCCCGGGGGTCTTTAGTTATTTTAGGTTAAATAGGTACAAGTACTATAACGAACGAACATTAATGAAAGAAGGGAATTAATTTTGTTACTTAGTTCGACCCTACGTGGCCCTACAAGGTGCAAGGGTGCCCCCTTATGTTATTCTGCCGCGCTGGAGTAAATTCGAAAATCCCCGCATGGTTTCGGGTTTTTTCAAACAGTCTGTTCGTTATAGTAAATTGTCTTCTATGTAAAACGGAGCGACCACAAATCATACAAACTTTTCCACGCTTCGGAGATAACATGATTCCCGTTCATCCATACTAATTGACAGAACCGATAATCGTGTTCCAATGTCCAAATAGTGTTAGATAAAAATCAATCAAGTGACAGGGAGCGCACAATCACAACGAAGTAAGACGAGTCGACTATTTGCAACTGCAAGTCCTTCAACCCCCGTAAACCGTTTTGTGGTGGCTCAGTAAGTGCAAGCGCAGTATGGTCGGCAGGCTTTGTCGTATATCTAGTTGTATAGTACGATATGGCATATTATTATGGTTACTAATAATATGAAATGAAGGTACTATAAATTAATTTATTTAGCTACTTATATATGCCCATGTGTCATATCTTTTGACTACCAGGATATTTTTTTACGGTATCATATCTTTTGACTACCGGGATATATTACGGTGTCATAATAAAAAAGGCTAGTTTTTCATAGATCTATCGATTGGATACTAATTGCATTGTTGGCGGAGCTGGGTGTGTTTTGCCCATTGTCCTTTGAATTTTATTATTAAGTCGGCTTGGCTAGGATGCCATTGGATCATTATAAAAAAATGACCAAATAACCCTTACTATTAAAAAAAAAAAGTAGATTTTGGTACTGAATGAAGAATCCATCCAATCCTTTGGTGCAAAAATAAAGGATAGTTAATGTACGGTTCATTGACATAATTGTGTTTACATAATAATATTTATTATCGAGGTCTGTTTAATAACGAATCAAAATCTTAATTATTTACTTATTTAACACCGAGTGCTAACTAAGCAACCGCGAATGACTGACGTCGCGTGAGAACCACCTTTTGAGTCATTCTTGTTATACGTTAATAAGCAGTTAATATTTACGGTGTTTTTCATTCTTTAGTACTCCACCATGATTACTCAACTGAAATATTAACAACTTAAAAAAAAAAAAGTGAATAATTTCATTATTTAAAATGCAGTGGTTTTGGCTGTGCGTTACGTCAGTCAATTAGTTTTTTATCTTATTCTGAGATTTGTGAAAGTCATAAAGGGTTGACACTTATGCTTTTCTTTTGCTCCCTGTGAATGGGAAAATTAGTGTATTCGTTAATAGAATCATTATGTTGATATTCGTTGTATATAATATTCCCTTTACACAGCTTTAGGGCTCGCTTCCACTAGCCAAGCGAAATGTACGGTAACTATGATCTCATAACATTTTAAGTGTTTATTTCAGTATCAGTGCTTGATGATGGTATCCTAGGTTTCCGGAATGTTTTTATTTGAAAAAAAAAACAAACTATATAGGTAAACCGCTTACCGCTTCCGATCCGATCTTTGCACTCAGCAAAACGGGGGCCGGACTTGTTTAGAGAGGAATTCGTCAGGTGGCGATACGGATTGTGAATATCTGTTACCGTGTATTTGTCAGTGCCTGAAAGAAACCAACAAAGTTTATATTATGACTAACTGTGTCCCGCGGTGTTTCCCGCCGTTTATTAGGGATATTTTCCCGCAGTAAAACGTAGCCTATGTTTTAATCCAGGGTGTCAGCTAACTCCATACCAAAATTTATTAAAATTGCTCCAGCCGTTTAGACGTGAAGAAGTAACAAACATACACACTCACAAACTTTCGCCTTTATAATATTAGTGTGTTATATCCAAATCTCGCGATACTACACATATTTTCATTTATTTACTTATTCAATCACATATAAGTTTATTTTCTACAAATTAATGGAAAATGTGACTTTGTAACTCAATTCGTCGAATTTACCTGCCAGTTGAAGAAAACGGCGGTTGACATGTCACTTTTAGTAAAAAATATTATAAAAGAAAAAACGATTGTGCTTATGATATGACCTCACGACTGAAGTGAAACTTCTTTAGCTCCATCTGTATATATATATATATATGTCTATTAAATACATATACATATTTAATTTACTAGCTTTAAGAGGAAGAAAATGTGCGCGCGCTCTGCTTTCTCTTGCTTATATCCCCCACTCAACTCCTGTTTGCCTTCGCCAGCTAACCCTCCAAGTCAAGCGTGCGTAAAGAAGTTTCACTTCTTAAGTGCTTCTTTGGAAACACAAATGTAGATAATATAGGTCACCTATGTTACGTATCTAATGTTCTCAACCTACGGTAGTCGGTGCACCCATCGACCACTTTGTCTAAAAGAACTAGCACATATCAGACAATAATGAGTACCTAGATATTATGTATATCCATTTCATTTCATTGAAAAACGGTGGATCTCTTTTTGATTTCGTTATAACGGACCACCTATCAGACATCCAACATAACGTAATCATCCGTCTCAGCATAGAGCATAGAGCTGTGATTAGGCTTGCCAGATGGCTGGGAAATCCGGGATTGTCCCGGAATTTCGCGTCTTGTCCCGTGTCCAGAAATTAGACCTTATTGCCCCGGAATCCCCGTTTTTTCACAATATTACTATTAATAAACTCACGTTACATACATCGGGGATGTCTTTGGAATTGGGTTGCGAGGGGCGACAGAAGCTCTTTATATCAAAGGGTTTTAATTCTAGGGGACCTATGTTTAACCTGTTTTACTGACCTATGTTTTGATTTGTTTTATGGAGTGGGGAGTGGATTCCAGGGATTGATAAGCCAGCATCTAGCAACCCTAGCTGTGATACTCACCAAATCTAGCCAATCCTTCAGCGTACATATACGCGGTGAGCGGCCGGTAGCCCGGCACGCACACGTAAAGTCGCAGGTCGAACTTATAGCCCGCGATCAGTAACGGTCGCTCTATATACCGTTGAACCACAGCCGATGATCCGCATCTCATTTCGCATACACTCTATAATATAAACCAAATTTTAAAGATCTTGTAAAGCGGACTTTTCGTTTGAATGGGAGTATTCGCTTTGCCTTTAGGAGATTGCAGCCTAATAGGCTAGTTGACTCATGTCAAATTGCACTATCCAAATGTTTATTTCTTATAATGTTTGGTATGAGGAATCTCTAAATACATCGATTTCACTTCATAAAATTAGAAGATGGCTGTAGGAATTTAATTTGAAAAATGGTTTTTTAGTCTATGCTCTTTAGACACTCAAAACACTGTCCACCATGATTGTGACGTCAAGAAGTTAGTAAATGTGTTAGTAAACAACTAAACCTTATTGTCGTGTTACTGTGGTATCTTTCTTCGGACTAAAATATATCTTAAAAAAATTTACATCTTGTAGGAAAATTTCCGCTTATTGGTTTTGTTGACTAAATTTATACTGGACGCCGGATTTGTGAAAGCAGAAACGACGAAACTCTTTGAATTAGTAGGTACATTCATAACCTTAAAAATGTATTTTTAAACTTTAAATATCATTCAATGAGTACTCACATTAAAGTGATCTTTGCTAAAAGAAATGACTTTCAGACGGTAAAATTACAGGATTTAGCAAGTTTTAAACATTCAACTTTTCTGAAGTCTTTAACGATGTGTTTCTCACTACATCTACTCTGCATTCTTGATAATACAATCATGATAATTATTATATTTATCATGAAATCTATAAGAAATCATGGTTTTATAATATAAATTTAGATTCAGGTTATGTCCTACGTGCTTCCAATGTTTGTTTACGATTTTGTTGACGTCATAGCATAGATACTATAGACTAAAATAGCTGACAGCCTTTTTGTATGTCCATGAAAAATCTATTTTAAAATTAAAGTTTTGTATCTTTCTAGAACAATTATTAACCATTTAAAACATATTTCCAAAAAGTGTCAAGTAGCCTATTCTGGTATATATCCCTACAGCAACGATATTAACATGTTTGGTCCGTGATCGAGGGTGTAAAAGTAACTTTCGCATTGAGCAGTCATAGGATGGGTGACCAAAAATGTATTATTTTTTATCTGTTTCTTAGGTTTTCACGCACCCACTCATTAATTAAACAAATTTCAATGGTAAAGATGCACTGATTTATTTATTTATTGAGGTCTCGCATCCTTTTCAGGATGCGTCGTCTTAATAATGATTTTATTTACTTTGTCAAGCTACCTTCCTATTCGAACGCTCAATAAAAGTCTTTCGAAGGTAGCTTGACAACGTAAATAAAATCATAATTCAGACGACCCTGGTGGAACTGGGACTTAACAGCGTTAAGCCGTTGGTCCCAGTTAGCGCCTACCAATTTGCATTGGGCTTGCGTGGTGGGCCATGCATGGCTTGTTCTTTTTATTCCATCCTTAGGAAAGGTTCATGTCACAGCAATGCCGACAAATAATTATATTTTATCGCGTTATAATACCCACCCGCGCAAAGCCGTGGTGACCGCTATACTTCGACATTTTATTAGCTGCAGTAAAATGACGTTTCAAAATGTCATTCCGTAAAATAATGTTAACCGTCTAATTATAATAGGGATGTGATTAGGTTCACAGAAAATCTAATCGTTTCATAACTAACTCATAATGTTCATACTTAATTCTATTTATTATTCATATAAATAAAAGATTGTCATTAGTGTGAACGAAAGCGAAAGCTATAGTGATTCCGAAAATGATTGAAAAATAATAATAGTATTTAAATAATATTGTTATGATATTTTTGTTTCATTTTGGATATACGTCCCTATACTTCCACTGAAAAAGATCAATCCTATACTATAGTAATAACTAGCAAACCCGGCGAACTCCGTTTCGCCACCAGATGGCTTCTTTTTATGTAACATTTCGTTTGGTGATTAAAAGAAGATTTTTTTTTATAATTTTTCCTGAATTTTCTTTGCTGTAAACCCCACGGAGCCCGAGACCTTTCCAACGAATGCAAAACCGTGGAAATCGGTTCATGAGTTCTGGAGTTATAGCGTCAGGAAGGAAAACCCGACTTATTTTTATATAGTAGATAATAGAATAAAAAAATACATTACAACTTAATAATAAATCTCTAAAACAAAACCAAACTGACCATTCATTTATTGAATGATCCACTTACTCACTTAGCTACATCCCTATTTATTTTTCTTCAAAAAGCAGTAACCCACAAAACGTCATTTTACTGCAGCTAATAAAAAGTTCCACTTTAGTCATCATCATCATCATCATTCATCATCAGCCTATTAATGTCCCCACTGCTGGGGCACAGGCCTTCCGTATGGATGGAATTGGGAGATTGGGCCATGACCCACCACGCGAGCCCAGTGCGGATTGGCGAGTGCTAACGAATCCAGATGCAGCCAGGACCAACGGCTTAACGTGCCTTCCGAAGCACGGCGGTACTCGAGATAGAAGATTTTTGGTCACCCATCCAATGACCGACCACTGCGAAAGTTGCTTGACTTCAACGATCGCAGCCGAACGCGCTAACCACCTTCGCCATCGAGCCCCTCGACCGCTAGTAATAAACTCAAACTCAAAATAATTTATTCAGTTTAGGCTGTTACAAGCAACTATGAATTTCTAGAAGCTACGCCATCGGTTCGTGAATCTACGGCGGAAGGTATTGAGAAAAGAACCGGCAAAAAATTCAGCAAGTGCTGTTTTTTTCTTCCTAGTCATATTATTATTTAGACTCGTTAAATTGAAAAATTACTGCGGAGGTGATCAAGTCACCTTTCATTACATAATGTGATTTTAATAAATAAACCCAAACGAATTTGTTTCGATTTCCAAACTAGAAATAATTTGTTCAAGTTGAAAGTGGTGTAATACTTACTCTGAACAAGAAAATTCCTCGGCCTTGGCTCTGAGCTACAGGCTTATGTATCCAAATGACGTCAGAGTCTCCCTCTTCATTTCTGCGAAGCCTGGAGCATTCCGATACCAATTTCGCATATTCTAAGGGTAGGTGGTAGCTTGGCGGACTGTAAGTTATACACAATACAATACAATACACAATTCTTAATTGAAAACACCACAGAACAGTACATAAATGGGGTAAATACATTATGTTTAAACATAGTGACTCAATGGGCGGTCTTATCGCAAAAAGCGATTTCATCCAGTCAACCTTTGGATGGAGAGAATTGAAAGAAACTGGAGTCGTTGAAACAAGGTGTATAAAATGTATATAACTATATATATTAAATATATTTATATACATCATACATACATCAGCACAAACGTTCTAATTTTTTATACTTCGTGAACTGCAATCCCAAATCTGACCCCAGATGTGGATTTAGCGACCACAAATTACTAAATGACCAAATTTATAGGCTTGGATCAGAAGAAACAAAAAAATATTGCGGTCAACTGAGGGATCAACTCCGTACAGAAATACCTACAGACAGACACGAACCACGTTATAGATTCCATAGGTCAGTGATGAATGCCTTTATATGGCTTCTGCCGCTCTTCGCAGCTCTTGCAGCCGCCCCTCACGAATGCCTTTATATGGCTTCTGCCGCTCTTCGCAGCTCTTGCAGCCGCCCCTCACAGTCTGCCATCCCGAGCCGTGGCCCTTATGGCCCTAAATATCTCATCTTATATGTGAAAACTTGGTATTGGCTAGTAGTTAACTAAATTAGATACAATGTATCAATAATAGCTGTAAGTTTTCCGAAGAAATAAAATAAACTAAACACGCTCTTGTGGATGACATATAGAAGACAACTGGAATACAGGTAGGGTTGCCAGATTTTTTTCTGAGATATATAGAGTTTGACGGTTTGAAGGATCGAAAAATAAAGTATACACAGAAAAAATAAAGTACTTTTATTATTGTTCTTATTACAATTTTTACATGCATAAATATGTTCTATGTTCGTGTCACTTTTTTTATGAGTGCGTTCGGAAATGTTTACGTAATCCCTCACTTTACGTCAACTTGTGATCTTTGATTTTTAAGTTTAAAATATAGTATTTTAGCATACTTTATGCGTTTCGTATATAATAAAGTATACAGAGGCAAAATATAGTAGAATAGGTACTATATATTATAGTATATCTGGCAACCCTAAATACAGGCTCAGCTTTTATTTTGAGTTCGTTTTGGTTGGCTCATCTCGCTCGCCACGCGAAACTAGTAGTGTAGAGCTAAGTGATTCCGTTAAGACCCTTACACAAGGGTTTCTCGGTACTGATCTAATATCCAAAATTAAAGACTTAGTAACGACAGCAAAGTGATAGTTAATGAGTTTCAGTAAGTAGGTAGGTACATGTGTCACGTCAGCATAGTCTATGATTGATAATGGATAGGCACGCAAATGGAACAGATACGACTTTAAAATTAATTTAGCACAGAGAAACTTCACCACGGGTGTATTGAAATCTATCATTAAATGAAACTTATTAGTGTCGAATTTTCTACACACCGTTTACTGACACCACGCACAATTTACGTGCAATAAATTCTACGAAAATAATCATCATTATCAGCCTATAAATGCTTTGCACTTTTGGGGCACAGGCCTTCCTTACGGATGTGATGGGTAGGGAGATTAGGCCTACCACGTGGTCCTATAATGCGGATCGTTGGGTGCTAACGACTGCAAATGCAGCCGGGACCAACGGCTTAACGTGCCTTCCGAAGCACGGTAGAGCACGATATTGTAAAATTTTAGTAACCCCAGATGGGTTACTAAAATTTTATTTATTATTTATTTTAATGACCGATATTGGAAAAGATAAACGCAAAAAAAGTTGACAAAGTGCGTTACAGAGCGTAAAACCGTTGACATCCTCCAAAGTTATTAAGGAAATGAATAGCATTAAATATTATTTTAGGCTGTATTATTTCGATTCTGTACACGAACAGGAAAAAATGCTGTTAACGAAACCTTTTAAGTACTTATTCTCCTATAAATACAGTGGAAAACATTGCGTGAGCTTCGAAGACTATAGCTCAACACGAGAGGCAGCAATTGTGGACGGAAATCGGTTGTGAACTAGCGGCTTTTACGATATATTGGTGTAAGCATACCCTTATTGCCGATACGCCCTTTTACGGTGGATTGTGAAACACGTGTCGTCATTTTTGCATACATTTTACTACAACACACTGCAATACGAAAGCGTTTGGAAATCAGAGTAACATAAAAATAAGAACCTAAAAGCAAAATAAAACAAGTATATGACTTGTTTCGAAGCTTCAAAAAGCAATAAACACATTTCTTGAATACATGCAAGTATTCCAGAAATTCAATAAGTTTATGAAACTGTAAAAAAATATGTATTCTCAGCAAATAGGCAGGTCCACTACTATGAAGGTGGATTAAAAAGAATTATAAGTAGTCAGTGGTAATAATGTTTTTTTTCAGCCTTACTACTTACTTTAAAAACTGTTTAAATAAAGATGATTGCAACAACCTACCACTTCATCACATTAACCATCAAAAAGTACCATGCTTTATGTAGCACTAAGTGCGTCTTTCAAATATGCCGACGTCATTTCAGACCTTGAATATCAGACTTCCAAGCCATGAATACTAATTTTACAAAACAAAACTCTGTTGCTGATTCTTTTTGTCCCATCACGCGATCAACGGTACCACTAGGAGTAATTGCTCTAGAGCTCAGTTCATTAAATAATACTGCCGATTATTTAATATCCCATGAACTTTCACCTTCGCTGTTGCATTTGCTTGGAATTTAATACGACCTTTGTAATTTACCAAGCTAAAGTTGAAGTCGTTGCGCGGTTAGAGCTTCTCTCAAACTATTTCTGTACCTGACTCCTTTCTGCGTTAATTATTTTGAACTACGAAAATGATATTACAGAGTTTAAAATTGTGGTTAAGTAGAGTTCAAACGCTAATTTACGTTGAATAAAATAAATATAAACAAAAATTGGTTGAAGTTTGTCATTTGAACATTTAATTTTTTAGTTACACACTTACACAAATTGTGGTTATCCACTTATAAAAATATATATAACATAATGGATATTTACTAGTCAAAACAAAATAATGGCCACTGTGTTTTTTCTGTTTCCTAATAAATGTTTCGGGTTTCAAAGTGGATAAATAATGAAATTGAATCTTAAGCAAATTTTTATTGCAAAACCTTTAATAAATTTTATTGATAGATAAAAGAACAATCTGTGTTGAGTTTATTTGTATAATATACAATTTCAGCAAAAATACGATTAATGAAAACAAAGGGTGAAAACAAACATGTCGAAAGATTTTTATCTTTTTTGTAGTTCTTTAGTATCGTGTATGTCTTCCTCTTTTTCGAACACATTCTTGAAGGCCGGATGGCACACTCTCCACTAGATGTCGCACTGTCTCTTCTGAAATTTGTTCTCAGCTTGACTTAAGCATGTTAATAAGTTGTATTTCATTATGTACGGGTTGATTTGTGTCACGGACACTTGTTTTTAATAAATCGTACATGTTTTCGATGGGGTTAGGGTCCAGACTGTTGGAAAGTCAATGCAAAACACGTATACTAGCTTCGTCTAGGGCTTCCCTATTGACTCTAGCTGTATGAGCACAGAAATTGTCGTGCATTACGGTGAATATTGCACCAATTGTCAAATGCAAAGCTGGCTCCTCAGGAAAATGTAAGCATATTTGCGCTTTAGTTATATATGTAAATTCTCTTAAGAGTGTCAATTCCAAAACTACCAATGAAAAAAAATTGGGTAAACCTTATTATCAGTAGTTATTATTCTTTATAAAGAAATAAAATTAGTATTGGTACATCCAGAAAAGCAACAATGCATTAGGATAATTATGCTAGACTAACAATTTTTTACTAATAAAATTAATTCTGTTTACTTGTTAAAAATGCCATTATCAACTATTAATAGAGTACAAGATTTGGATTGGCCATGCCTGTTGGCAGCACATTCGTTGTGCATGTTCCCTATATCTAAAAATTCTGAAATTTTTAGGACACTGTTTCCCCGATTGACTACCTAAGGAAGAGATGCTCTGACCCGCCGAATGGATAGACCCCTTTACTCTTCATTGACTAACCACCATGATAGCACACGCGTTACCAACAGGCATGACTTCAAACTCCATTACCACATGGATCTGTTTGCGAACCAATGGCGTAGTTTTTTCACTTTCTAATAATATAAGAGTGGGACTAAATGTATTCTTTAGAAAGGAAAAGGAAGCAAGGATTCTATGGACAGCGTAAGTACTTAAATTTGCATAAACTATACTATTTGTCTATATGTCTAAACAAGAGGTTATGACTGCCAGGCCACGTGGAGTGATAAGTAAAATTATGATGAGTTCAATGACCATGCCATATGATAGACAGATAAGTCATCGCGACCTTTCGCATCGCGTCTAATGTTTTTCCTTTCCTTGTGTGCTTTCGTCTAGGCAGCCAGTGCGATGCGTGTCGCACGCAATGCGTTCAGTCACGGACTCATCGGTGGTTACTCTTCGGGTACGAATTCACCATTATTCCGTATCAGTAAGAGTGAAATTCCTAATGAAAGTGTAGACTTTCCTGTGACCCGCTGTACTTCCGATTCGAATGCCGATGACGCGCGCGATTGACAATTGCCCAATAGCAGCCGACAATGTAATCAACAAATGTTACAGAATACTTACCTGATGTCGTATACTTGCTCAGGAGCGGATTTACGTAGGGACTTGGGGGGGCTAGACTCCCGTCATCCCATGAAATACCGAAAATAAGTTTGACCTGTACATGTATCCCTCACTTCTACATAGGAAAAAGCTCTTGCCAATAATCCAATAAATACAGCTTAGAGAGTAACATAACGTGTTTTATTAGCTTACATTCCCATTAATGCATATTAAGCATGAAAGCGGAATTTAGAACAATTGGGAATCCAATGATTTTCATATCCTTAAATGGGCCCGCTTCAATTTCAGCCCCGGGCTCCACCAATTTAAAATCCGCTCCTGTACTTGCTGCTGCATGCGACGTCGATATAAATATTGTGGCGGCCTTAGCTCAAAGCTTGAGAGTTCACTGTCAAGGAGTTTCCTGATGTGTCGAAATGGAACCGCCGGTCACAAAATATAGCTTCGTCAATAAATGTGATGGCACGCTTTTAAAAAAAGTCTATTTTTCAAATTCTCCATTCTTTTTTAATTTTAATCTTAGTCGAGTAAGGTATTCCCAAGTTTATTCAAGCTATCAAGTAGAAGTTGATGCCTGAATTTAAGATGTACCTAATGATTTCATAAAAGTTCTATAAAGAAGTCGTAGTTGTTGTCTCACAAAAAAGGCAGACGGATACCACATTCTCTATTCAATTGAAAAGAAGAACCATATGTAAAAACTCAAAGTATTCTTTGGCGCGTCTTTCACTGCGAAAAAGCAATGCTCGGAACACCATTTTCCGAGCATTGCTTTTACGGGAACGGGAATTAGTAAATATCTATCACTTCTAAGGCGGAATGGAGTGAAGGTTTTTTAGTGACAGTCAGTTGAAAACAAACTTACTGCGTTCCGCACTACTGCAATATTTTCAGCTCAGCTTCACATCAGTTCTTATTAGTGTGGGGCGGAATAGAAAAAATGTTTTTCCCTGATTATTCATTTTATCAAAATTGTAGGGTAGTTCAGTTTTTCGTTACTTCAGCTAGAATCGGTTCGGTCGCTCCCTTAGATTAAACAAAAAGGGAAGATACGGTACGCTCATACTAGCATCAAATAAAATATGCTCCGACTCAAATATATAAGCAGACTCTCACACACGCACACGTCTGTAAATAAACATTCAATCGAACGAGCGAGACAGAACTGTACTCTTCAACGCAGCGCGAGCGAAACGGCGAGTCCGCACGGCTGAGCCGTATTGTTGTCCATTTCTTGATAACAAAATGGTGATTACGTAAATAACATTACTGACAAACGGTGATTTTTGAGAAAAAAATATTTTACAGTTTTACGAATGAAAAGCGTTGCCGAGGCATTTGTAATTGATTTTCAACTATTTGTGTTCTTTATAAATGCTTTATTTTTTATTCTATATGCTTTATTCACTGCCTCATCCTCTTCACTTGGAGATATTAGACCATTTAGTTTTGATAATAAAGACTTTAATAATAAAGTAACGTTTTCTGTTTGCTAATCGCAATCGCTTATGAACATGTTGACCAAACTTGTCTATATTCATTGCAGCTGCTGTTGATTTATTTATACTAAGCAATTTTATTTGTTGCATGTTTTTATATTTAGGATTTGAGATAATGCGCCAACTTCCCACTGTTCTTCAATAATTATGATTTCATTATCTTAGCGAGTGTTGCTAACATCTCAACTCGTGATGCATATAATAATTTTAATCGTTCCACTTTTATCGTTCGGATCATCCCAATAAACCAAGTCCGTGTCTTTTTTCACCTTTTGGAAGCCTTTTTCCTTGAGGAAGGCTCTCGTACTAGAAGTTGCGCTTCTAGAAAATTTAAATAATGGTCTTATGTTGCGCATATACTTAAGCCCTTTATTACTATTTATCGTCTATCCCATCATGTGGGGTAAAATGCTAATTTTTGTTTGAGTTGCCCCCCCCCCTCTCTAAAAGCTAAACTATTGCTGGAAAAACCTGGAAAAATCGTGATCGTGATAATAGTGCTTTTAATGAACTTTTGAGGAAAACTATAACGGTTAAGATAGATTTGTTAGTTTAAGAGTAATAGTCATTCAACTTTGGTTAAAGAAAATTTCGTACATATCGAAAATTCCTTCGAAGGAAACATTAATAGTGGCATAGATAAAGTTATTGTAACGTAAAACCTTGCGTTGAAAACAAAATCTAAAATAAAGTATTTAATTACCTCAGTAAAATATAATTAGTTCCGCAAAGCTACCGCGATTACAAACGGCTTCTGAATCACACTATCGTTAAGTTTTTATAAAACACTTGAAAATATATCATTAGTATCAAAAAAGAATAATAATATCGAATTGATTTTGAATTTGAGACGCAGTTTGACTTTGATTAAGGTACTTTAGTTGAGATACATAGTTTGATATTAATTGTTTTTTTAAATTTCCGAGACCGAAAATAAACACTCGTGCTCAAATATATTGTAGTAACGACAGACAACTATGGAACCCCACACTGCGCGGGGCATGACACGCACTTGGCCGGTTTTTACCCTTTGGATACGGAATTATAAAAATAATAAAATATATTTACAACATTTGTGTGAATCCTCTTGCGAAAAAAATAACGCATTAGTAATTCAGCTGTCTCTAGGTACTTAGGTATAAGATATATTTTTAAGCGAAGACTTTTTTCTTTGTTTCATTTGGTTACCTAAAAGATTTTTAATGCTTTCGAAGCACAGACCATTAAAAAAATAGTGCGTTCCAATTCCGGTTCCTCAGTAAAGCACGCAATGTTTTTTTTTATGAAAGCCTTTAAATCAATTGCATTTATTCTGCTTATAAACATCAGGATCCAAAGTTCTAATTTCCATTAGGATAAAATTGCAATTTACAACCCTAAATCAGATTGTTGCGTGTTTCAAAATATACTTTTGTTGTTTTTTATCGTTTCAGGGATCCGCATGGCATCGGTAAACAATTAGCATTTTTTTTCTTATATGTAAAGAGAAGAAAATTTAACGCAGCATTTATCAGGAAATAAAGTATAAAACAAAACTTGTTGTTGAAATCGCAACTCATGAGCTCGTCTGTGCAGGTGGTTAGCGCGTTCGGTTTGTAAGTTAAGCAAACTTTCACAATGGCCAGCCTGGGTTAATTGGATGGGTGACTAAAATTTTATTAAAACTCTTCTCAGTTCTCCGTGCTTTGGAAGGCACGTTAAGCCTTTGCCGACGGCTGCATCTGCGGTCGTTAGCAACCACCAATCCGCACTGGGTCCAGTTGGTCAACGATTTTAAGAGAGTTAGGGTAAAGCGGATTTCTCGCTCAAATTTGAGCGCTGGCCTTACAGAAGACACAGTAAAATAACACTATCTTTTGGTGGTGTTGTGTTTCTGTCTTTGAGTAAGGTTCTAGGGCTCCACGCCACAGGGTAGAAGGATTGGGTCAAGATAGGCAACGTCGCGACCGATATTTTTGTGATATTGCAAGATATGGTGCACTTGTATTTTTTTTAACACACACCAGTTAGCCTAGCCCCAAAATCAAGCACTGCAAGGCTTGTATTATGGGATACTAAGGTAACGGATAGAATACGTATATCACGATGTAAACATCCATGAATGAAGTACAAATGCTTGTATTCATCACACAAATATCTGCCCGCATCGGGATTCGAACCCGGGACCTCTCGAGTTGGCGACACCATGAAACCCGGCGTACAAACCACTCGGCCACGGAGGTCGTCAAATATGCTTGTTTGCCACCATATTACATATAAAACCGGTTTTTGATACGTACATAAATTACCTACACAGGTAAGCAGATATATTGTGCTTTTATAAAGGATGCCGCGTACGTGGTTGCATGAATTGTACCGCGCGGGTTCGATTATACCCACTACCTCACATTCACGAGCAATGGGGCGGTTCCGTGATCGAACTCTATAGCAATTTAATCAGGAGCCGATGGCATTATAATGCATTATAGTTAATCTAATCAATTGCTGAGTTTGTGACTGTGACACATTCTGTACGATAATAACGTATGAATAAAAAAATCATTAACTCTTTTGGAGTTAAATGAAATATCATGTAGGTATGTCAACTAAAGTGAATTAATTCCAAAGTATGGTTTTCTTGCAACAAATCAGCATGTATAATATGTGGTGGTATTTTATTGGATTTTAGATATAATTATTTGTTTATTTAATAAGTGATAAATAGCTGTAAACCTTCCTAAAATATAATTAACAAATAAAAAAATAACACCAGCGAAATCTAACTTTCTGTAAGGTTATAGGGAAGGAAATTCCCAGTAGTTCTGTTCCCAGGTAAGACTACTGGGAACATTTATAGGTAAATATTGATTACGTCGATACACGACAAAATTTCACAAAAACTGTTCAACCAACCAGTATTTGTCTACTGACTGATAAACTAGCCGACTACATAATCGGAATTCGTTATTGAGATTACCTGTTACAGAAATCGATATAACACACCAGGATTTATGGAATACCACCACGAGATTAAAATATCAACGTCTGCCGTTTGCTAATGTAAAGTGTTCACCACGTCATCCCTTGCGAGGTTAGTTACAATAGGTATCTTAGATTAAATTTATATTTTCCTATTTGGGTTATGTTGCTGTACTGAGGCCCAAGCATGAACTTTGACGTCAAAATTTCTATGAAAACTAAACAGCGCCCCTAGCGGACGTATTAACGAACTAGCTCCTTAAATAAAAATTTTGATGGTAACGATACGATTACGGATCTGTCAAAGTTCATGACCATGGGCCATTAGTATAAATAACATACCTGAATTCATATATAGATCCATAAACTCGTCTCATGCACCTCAGTAGTCGCGAAAGGCTGTCCTTCCGACATATTGAACCACCTTTCGGTATGTGATTCATAAACTGCAACAAATTCAATTCTTCCGGTAAAACATAAAAGGATTGGCAAGAAGAAAACAATAATTATGTTACTTAAGCTCTCAAAGCATTTTTTTTTGTTTCGACGACTTCGTCTCCGTGAATTTTAATTAATGGACAACTTTTTTCGTTTTATTTCATAAGACCTTTTTTTAAAGTATTGAAAGAGTTGTTCTTAAGTTATGGCGTGACTAAGGAGACAGGGCTTCATTTTATTTTCGCGATTTCAGCGTTGGTCCCGTATAAAAGTTGTTCCTGTTGATGGGTAGAATCACACCCTAAGAGGTTGTTGGTGTTTTAAAATTAACAATGTATAAAAATTTGATTATACATACTTAAAACAAATAACATAACAAGTCCAACCTGCCAATCTCCGAGAGTCTTGTAGCAGCCAGCCGGAAAAGCGCTGGTGCGCCACCAAAGATTCCACCTCTCTTCGTTTCCGCTGTACCCGTGGTACATTCGCCACCCGCGCTCCGCACAAACCTTAAGGGTAATATAAACTCCTAAAAGAATTTCAAGTATCCGGAAAAATAAAATGTAAGTAAAATTAGATTTAGCTCAAATAATAATGTCGAATTGATATTGACGTTTTGCTATGGTTTATATCTAGTTTTGGTTGCATCGCGATTTAGTAAAATTGTTGCAAGTGGACCTTAATATGAGGTTATTAGGTATTAGGTATATGTAATTTTCACGATACTTTGTTTATATGTACACATATTAAGATTTCTGATCCGATTTGAGAGACAATTTTATTTCGATCGAAAAGCAATAATAATAATAATATTTCCAACACTCACACCAATTAGCCTAGCCCCAAAGTAAGCACTATAAAGCTTGTGTTATGGGATGCTAGGGTAACGGATAGAATACATATATTGTACATATATAAGTATATTTATATAGAAATAGATATTTAACATCCATGACTAGAGTACAAATGCTCGTATTCATCACACAAACATCTGCCTCCACCGGGATTCGAACGCAGGACCTTTCGAGTCGGCGACACCATGAAACCCGGCGTACAAACCACTCGGCCACGGCGGTCGTCAAATCTCTTATACTTGCCATCTGGGCCCATAAAAATTTAATTTACTTTGACCCAGTAGTTTTCATTTTATGACATTTTTTGTTTTCTTTGACGATGTAATTTTCACGATATTTTGTACATGGATTTTTAAGAGTTTTTATGTATGTGTAGATTTGAAACTAAAATGAGTGAAATATTTTATGTCTACTTAGTTACATCAAAATCGAAAATGGAAGGAACTAAAACCTTTTTCTTGTTTTATATATATACTTATATATATTTTATAGCCAGGTAGGCAAACGACTCTATTCCACCTTCTTTTTTTTAAGCAGGCAAAAAACCCTGCGAATACCCTCTAAGCTGCTTAGTGCGAAGCCGAGGGATCCCCGTTAAGGGATTCTTCCGCGTTTCCGCACCCAGCAGCCTCCCGGCGTAGCCGGAGCTCCACGGCAGGGCGCAGGATGGCCCGCGCGTGGGAGCATTGTACGCGGCCTAGTGCCCACCTTACCGCCCCCGTCCGCTGCGGAGGGCTTTTTGACTCTATTCCACCTGATATTACGGGTGGTAGAGTCCAAATGTGTTGATAGCTGGTTCAGCAGTTATAAACTGCCACACCAACCATCCTCACCTTGCCGGCCTGCAAAAATGCTTCTTCACGTCTCTCATAAAGGACCTCAGATTGTAGGAAAGAGGGAACACGTGCACGGGCAAAGAATTCCACTTGCGAATAGTACGAACAAGAAATGAGTCACCAAATTTCTTTGTTTGTGTAGGAATAGTGGCGACAACGTAGGCCAGCACGCGTGGTCCTCTGAAGAAAAGGTGATGGAGAGATAAGGGAGAATAAGTTATTAGAACATTCGCCGTGTATATTTGAAAACCTACATAGTCGAGATGGTTCTTAGCTATAATTTATAAAGATCTGTTCAGGGGTTTAGAGATCATCAGCTTATTATTAATTTAAGAAAAGGGTTTAACAAATACAGTTACTATTTAAGAATTTGGTGCACTTTTACTTTGTAGCAGCATCAAGTACTCAACTAATTCAGCGTATTTGGGCTCATAAGAATGGTCTCAATGATTTAATGACGATATAATCGTAGTTTGCAGTGTCTGTTAGGAATATGTCTTTCATTATGCGAACGGCTAGGGAGTGGAACTCCTCGCGAACCAATATAATCTGTACATCTTCAAAGGCCAGAGTGAACAGGCATCTTCTAGGCAAGCGTGTACTATCCTAGGCCTCATTGTCGCTTTCCATCAGGCGAGATTATAGTCAAACGCCTTGCTTATTATGCATTAAAAAAAATAAGAATATTGAAATGAAAATGAACTAACTAGAAATTTTAAAAATCCCCGTGACCCAAAGATAATCTAAAAAAAATAAAAAATAAAATGTGTTGTTCCTGTAATAATTACATTTTCCCAAGTCGTGGGACATGCGAAAATGTACGGCTTCTTATATTTAGAAATAATAATGAAAATATGTAGCGGTCCTTTGATTTTAGGAAAAATTTTTATGGGCTAAAATTTTCCGTAAGCCGTTCAGATAAAGTTTTCTTGCACACTGCGCATTTTTTTTTATTTCGAAGTTTATCAACGTTACATGAAAATTTGTGTTGTTTGTGAGTGGTAGAACCAACGATGATGGTTCTAAAGGTCTGAATTTTTTATAAGAATTTAAAATGCAATGGAACATGCTAAAATTTAACGTTTTTACACACTTTAAAAACCCATATTTTTTTTTTACCTTAACGAGTAAGCTGGGACCGGTTCCGTTATCGTTCAGCCGAAATATGAAAGGCTCATCGTTGTCCATGTCATCCATAGGTAATTCAATGGGGTATCTAAAATACATTATGAAATCTTTAAACAATAACCAACTAAGTAACTAACTACTGATGAAATATAAATGATTTTTTTACAAGTTTCGCTGTGACAATGTGTGATGTGAAACATCGTAAACACAAATTTCATTTCATTTTACTGATAAATTAAAAACAAACATTAATAATGTTACGTTTCTTATTAATTAAATCGGAAAAAAACAAACTTTTGAATAGGATTCAAAGTTTGTTATTTTTCAGTGGTTCTTTTTTCTAAATGGGCAATTGCATTAACTTATTCCTCAATTGTTCGATAAATACACTGCTTAAAGGAGAAAATGTTACATGTTAGTATGGAAAACTCAACCTTGTCGTTGAAATCAGAATTTTCAAATGCAAAAATGTATTAATAACATAAGTGTACTCCGACATATTATTATTTCTGAATGAACTCATCACATTTGATGTGTCGTTGACTCGGCGGAAGTGCGCAAACAATAACAAAACGAAATAACTTAACCTGGTCTTCATGTCACAGGTAATGCATCGTTCTCAAAGACGTCATTGTAAAATCTCCACTACCAACAGTAGCATGTGTTCTAGTGTAGTTACATGGACGAATGTAACGTCTACACCATGGCAAACTTGTTACATTGATGCGATTTTGTTTAACAAAACACGATCGGGCCACTGGTTTTGGACGTCCATTAGTTTGGGCCGCCCGCCCGGCACTGTATTTTCTAACCATCGTAGCTTTCGTGGTAACCAAAGCAACCGAATGATTAATAACGGGAGCATTCGTGACAGGAGTTTTGTAAAAAAGCTACGTAACGACGATAATGCATACTGTAGGTTAATGACGCGACCGTATTTTCGTCTTCAATTGCATTACGGTACCTCGTGATCGGGTTTTAATAGGTATTATGCTAATAGTCTGCCTTGAAATATCAGTTCTATCGTACTAAGTCGGTTTTATTTATATTCTGCAGTTATAATAAGATAGTGCATTATGCACCTTCAGTTGAGTCACAAACAAACCTAATTTACAGCAAGAATATTTAATTTAATTTGTCTAGGGTTTTTTTAAGTTACTTTATTGACGTGACAACGTCTTAAATTAGGTTGCGGCTGGGAGTCACTTATGAAAAAGTGTAACGCTCGGTAACGTTACGATGAGTCTCTCGTGTTAAGTTTAAGTTTACATGTACAATGTTTTAGTAAACAAAATATATTTCTATAGTTAAAATTTGTGCAATTCTTATTTTCATTCAATTCCTTGTTCCTATTGTGCAATTTAATTATATTCATATCAATAAATATTCTACCGAGAAAAAGACGTTGTCACGTAAAATCTTCGCCCGTAAAACCGACTTTACAGGCAACCATTTTTTTTTATTTTTCAACGTTAGTTAGTTACAAAGAATTCTTTAATAAAGTAATTATTGAAAATACGTTTGAAAGAGTATCAAAATCACACACGAGACAATCCATGACCAGAACCTACACTCTTCAAAGTAAGCCTTTCCGTTGATAATAATCATAAGATAGTCCTTTTTGGGCTTCATAAGTGAAAGGGTATTTGTTATAAATACTCATGAACCAATTTAAAGTTATTGTAGGAGTAGTTGAGCCCTATTCGTAACTAAAAGTGAGCTTGAATTGTTATCTATTTAAAACAATCAACTGCCTTGCTGAATTGTTTTCGTCTAGACATTAAAGTAATATACCGAGGGCCCCCGTTAAGTTTGTTTGTTGTTGTTGATGTTTGTAATTTTATAAATTTTTAATTAAGGCACTTACAAACTTTAAATTGGCGTAGTTTCTGAGCCTCTACTAACCCAGTTTTGGCGCTTTCGTTGCGTGCTACGCGTGATAAACTTATCCTATTATCATAACAACAAACCCCTAATATTACTTTGGGAAGAAATGGAAAGTATGGGCAACCAATCCATCGATTACATACGATACGATTACCTATGTTGTTTGTTTCCTGGGTTTGAGGAAAAATGATCATTTTTCATCGAAAATGATGATTTGGGTAAACATAGATGAAGTTAGCCGAACCCCGAGAAATTCGTAATGCTTAAAAGAATTTTAAGGGAAATTAAAGCTATACGTTCGGCAGGGACACAGTTTTTACCATAGTTAGCAAATGATTGGAGAAATGTGGTAGGTATAGGTATTTTAAGTTTTGTAAAATCTGTTCAGATCAGAATTATTAATTACTCAAATGTAACAACGTCGAATGTTATATTTTCCTGATTCCATTGAATTTCATATAAAACTTTATTCAACATTATAACATTACTACGATAAAACACTCCGCAAATTTAAGATTACTAAGAGTTCAACACTTTATGAATCCAATAATATGAGTATGTAGATAGACAGATACATTATGATTGAAGACCTGATTATATACAACCCAAAATATGAGGAGTGAGAGATCTTAATATAAAACTGGTTATGTGATGATTGTCTGATAAAATTGGAGAATCCACTTAGAGAAAGGGTAGGGTTCCATGTAGTGTTTTCAAGCATAAGAATGAGAGAGAGAGAGGAAGTTAGCGGACTTTTAAAAAGGTTTTCAGGCCTCAACGGGCTAACCTAAGTTAGGTATGGGGTTAGGGTAGACAGTACGGGAGTGATTCATTTGTGTTCCAGTTTAAGAGGAAACACCGCTGTACCTCAGGTACCTACCTACCTCTCTTATTTAAAAGTACACTTTTCGGACTTTTATCAGAATCACCAGTGAAGATATATATCACTAGTTGACCCCGCGTACTTCGTACGGGTTAAAATAATTAGGAAGAAATGACGGATCCGAGTCTACCGTACCAAAAGGGGTGAAAATGTTTGACAGGAAAGAAGATAGAACAGTTTAAACGGGAAAATTAAATTGACGTTTTTACTATCTTCCTCTCATTTTTTCATATTTTCTCAGCTTTTACACCTTCCCTAGACCTCCACGAACATTTAAGACCAAGATAAGATAAATCCGTTCAGCCGTTCACGAGTTTTAGCGAGACTAACGAACAGCAATTGATTTTTATTTAAATAGATGAACGCATACGGTGACTACATCGCAGACCAAGATTTGGTAAACATAGATGAAGTTATCCAAACTGTCAAATTTCCAACTGACTACGAGCTTTCTACTGCTGATTATATTCACCTGATATGTGGCCGTCGTCGATGCATTATTAACCTTATGCCCATAGCCATAGGTTAATTTGCAAGTCTCGTCATTTGGAAGTCGTTTATAGTTATTAGGTTGAGATCACGACTTCAGTTGCTATTGCTTTAATAATTTGCTTTTTCAATGTTTGCGTTACTAAAATAGCTAAATCAAGAAGATTTTATGTACCTTTAAAGGTCGCGTCGCGTCGTCTCCGTAATGAAAGTAATTTCGCATGGGGAAATTGATTCTAATAGCTTTGAATTTAAACTAACTAGTTGGTATTGTTCAATGCGATTAAGCACGATGGAATGATACAAGAAACGGCATGGCCGCATTTTAGACATGACATAGCACAAAACTAGAAATACCTATATATCTTTTACTTATTAGGGCTTATCTATTTGGGATTGTAATTTGAGACTGGGATTTTAATTTGGACTGTTTCCTGATCGGGAATTTAAGAAAAACCTGAATGCATGTCTTTACATATAAAATGTTCGTTAGGGCGCACACTATTCCTATTTTTTAGGTAGGCTTACGGAATTTCAAATCTGAAATCAGGAAACTGTACATGTACGGTATCTAACTGATTCGGGTTTCCTGATCAGGAATACAGATAAGTATTCCGTGAACCTAGCGCTGACGCTTTTTTATTATTTAAAGTCCGAAACGAATTTTAGGTTTTTTTCCATTCTGAATAATGACTATATATATTATAAGAAAAAAATATAATAGTGTTCGCCTATTTAAACATTTTGTATGTCAGAACGTGCAGTCACGTTTCCGAATCGGAATTCCTGATCAGGAAACCGTACAAATGCGCCTAGCCTGATTAATTTTTTTTTAAGGTCAGGCAGGTCATAGCAGTTTTTTAGTGAGCCAATAATCATAGGAGAGAATAAAATAGCTAGAGTGTGAGAGGATCGGGCTGTGAAAAAACTACATCTGAACTACTACTTAGACCGGTTTGACGTCCTAGATACAGCTAGCACGACGAAGTGCTAAAAGACTTGCAGTCTTTGGATACTGAGTGCTGGTGGGATCTAGCTCATGAACGTAAAGAATGACGTCATCTAGAATCGGAAGCCAAGAATATATAATGGAAAATATATAAACATGTTCCATTTGTTTTAATAGCACAAAAGGATTTCAAGGTAGACGATACGTTGGCAACTTCTGCTTATTTGTTAATTTATTAGATTGATTAAAGTATTGTGTTTGCGCAATATAGTATCCAACTGAGAATAAAAGAAACTGTGAGGAAATTACCTTACACAATAATGATTACTGCTTATTTTCTATTCCCGATCACCTTATAAATATTAACTTAGATTCATGTCATGTTCGCATTTGAAAGGTATGCAATGAGGTATATATTATTTGATTGTACCCTCATTGTACCTGAATGTACACTACTTGTACGCAGAGAGATTGTATGTATTATTATAATCTCTTTCTTTAAAGCCGGCTGCTCACATTCCGCTTAATTGTAATGTCACATTACATTACTGATGTCTGTAGGCAAGCAGGCGGAAGGCTTAATTGTGGTGTGTGTAGGCCAAGGAACTTACATACTAACTGGAATGCATGCGAAACAATACGGGAATTTAAAAAATATACTCTAACTAGTTAAACATAAAATCCATTAATGTTTCTACCTTCATAAAAGGGAAAAATACTCCGAGCGGGACAACGACGAAAGTGGAATCCGTCCCTCTCTTGCAATTGTCAGTGATATTAAAAATAATTAAATGGTAGTTTTCACCATTATCCCATTACCATTTATAAGAACAAGGACGTACAGTTTGAGAGTTAAATTAGCATTTATGTTTGATGGCAGGTAGTATAATGATATCAATGCAACCTAAAATGTGTTTATTTTTATTAAAATGGATAACTTATCTAACAAAATTGTTTAAAATGGTAGTTATTGGCAGTAACTTGCAGTTTTGCACGAGAACACTTGCGATGCTTCCAATAACCAATATGGCAATATCCTACCGGATTGAAGTCTTATTTATGCTAACTACAAATTATTTTGATCAAATTCTTGTGATTTGCTGTTCCAATATGATATTTTATTTATACAAAATGGTGTAAAAGTGAGGCGTATGCTAGTTGTAGAATTCCATTAATAGGTTAGTTTTTGACTTCTCTTTACAAATTACATGTGTGGGTGACAAAACATTTCGATTTTCCTACGGAAAGAATATGTCATCATCATCATTAGCATGTTAATGTCCCCGCTCTTGGGGCCTTTCCTATGCATGGATCCAGGCAGCGGATGATCCGATCGCGGCTTGGCTGTAGAAATGTGAAATACGTGTATGTGAAATAAAAGGGGATTTAAAAAAATATAATTTAATAATGCAAAAGATGTAAGTATATTTTTGTACTTTCATAATAATAGAATTTCCTTTCCGTTCATTGCAATAGTCCTGACTCCATACAAAAATATACCACGACCTTTGTTTATTCTTGAAATTTTTTGTTCATGAATGTAATTTTATTTTCGTCGTTCCAGGGCAATGCAGACACCGTGTAGAGGTTTCGTAAGAATGTCGAATTTTGCTTCGAGGTTAGGGACACGTGATTTGAGCGGTTCTGCTACAATTTTGAATTTCCTCAATACATCTGATATGGCAATCTTTAATGTCGTGGTACCGAAATGGTAACCTGAAATAAAAAAAAAGTTCCACATTACGCCAAAGACTCGGGAAAAAGGACATTGGGCAAAAATATATGGACGCTGCACCCACGTCCGCCACGACTTAAACTTCATTTGTTTGAAAGGTATTATAGTCATGATCATCTGTGCCAAAGCGCATCAAATTCCATCCCGGGGGTCTTTAGTTATTTTAAGTTAAATAGGTACAAGTTCTATAACGAACGAACATTTATGAAACTTATGAACATTTATGGAATTAATTTAGTTAGTTAGTTAGTTCAACCGTACAAGGAGGGCTCAGGTATTATGGGAGTACTCCACAAGGTGCAAGGGTGCCCCCTGATGTTATTCTGCCGCACTAAATTAAATTCTAAAACCCCGCTTGGGTTGGGAATTTTTCAAACTGTCTGTTCGTTACAGAAAATTGTCTTCTATGTAAAACGGAGCGACCACAAATCACACAAACTTGTCCATGCTTCGGAGAACAAAAAATATTCCAGTTCATCCATACTAATTGACAAAACCGACAATCGTGTTCCAATGCCCAAAGCGTGTTAGATAAAAATCAATCAAGTGACAGGGAGCGCATAATCACAACGAAGTAAGACGAATCGACTATTTGCAACTGCAAGTCCTTCAACCCCCGTAAACAGTTTTGTGGTGGCTCAGAAAGTGCAAGCGCAGGATGGTCGGCAGGCTTTGTCGTATATCTGGTTGTATAGTACGATATGGCATATTATTATGGTTACAAACTGAGGTTACAAATAATATGAAATGAAGGTACTACATAAATTAATTTATTTAGCTACTTCAATATGCCCATGTATTATATCTTTTGACTACCAGAATATTTTTTACGATGTCATAAATAATAAAAAAAGGTTAGTTTTTCATATACCTATTCATTTATACTAATTACATTTTTGGCGGAGATGGGTGTGTTTTGCCCATTGTCCTTTGTCAATCACAGTAAATATTCAACATAAAAACATCGGCCAAGTGTGAGTCGGAATCGCGCACGAAGAGTTCCGCACTTAGATTAACACAAAAAGGGAAGATACGGTACGCTCATACTAGCATCAAATAAAATATGATCTGACTCAACTACATTAGCAACTCTCACACGTCTGTATATAAACATTCAATCAAGCGAGCGAGACAGAACGGGGATGATGACTAATTTTTTTTTTCTTCGTTTATCAGGTAGATTATAAAAAAGTATTGGACACGTATTTTTTCTTTTTACACATAATATAAACATTGCAGAGATATATTGATTTGAAAAGTCGGATGACGTCACGTTTGAGTACACTTATAAGTGAAAATTCACTCAAAAGTGACGTCACGAGCCCCTACTCCCAAACTTTGACGCGCTATAACTTTGTCATTTTTTGGTGACGAAAACAATCAAATTATTTTTGATTTCACGGTTTTTTGTTTTTATATATATATATTTATATGTTACACAACGAGCTATAGACAATCATGTGTCACAAGCTGGGTACAAAAAAATCTTCTCTTTTTCATGTATGGGAAGAATCCTATCCTCCTGTGATGAAGAATTTAATTGAATTTTTAACTAAACATTCGGCTTTGGCCAGGCGCTATACAAAAATACTAAAATTTCAATTCTTTAACTCATTCAGATGGACAGACCGACAGACTTCAGAGTAACAGAAATAGAAGTCCGTTTTTACCTTTGGGTACGGAAGCTTTTGGGTAATAGTACGACAAAAAAATGGTAACTTATTTCTTTGTCGTACTATCCAGGAATGCTTTGCCTGCTCACGTGTTCCCTGCCCCCTAAAACACGGAGTCGTATGACACAGGCGTGTTCGCGCGTCGTGGTCACAGCACCTAAGAATATTTATGTTCCGCCAACGATTCTTTTCTCTCTTACTGAGGCAAATGGCGTTACCGCAAAATCTTTTTATTTCAGAAAGATTGAGAAATGTCTTCACCATTGTTCAGTTATCAGCGTTTTTGAAGAATCCGTAGGATTTTCGCTCAAATTCGATTCATTACATCATCCTACGACATATTAAGTTAATGATGTGAAACATTTTAATATAGTCAGCAGTTGTAGGAGCTGCGTTAGTCTTATGGTCATTCAAAGAGACTGCAAGCAGATTAATAAGTTGGTGATGACGAAATACTAAACTAACTCTTACAATAATTGATGGCTGCAGTGGTCGATAATATCCAACTTTTGCAAAAACTAAGCTGATAATCGGAAGTGTGGCTATATCAAAGAGGATGGGTCTAGTTTGTCGCCTTTTAATCAGTTTAGGTTAAGCCAGAATACGGCTTAGTCTTTCTGTTTTGTTTTTCGCCTTCTTTATGTTCATTTGTTTGTTTCATCCTCTTCAAATTTCTTTTCAAGCTTACCAGGGCAATTTCTCGGGCCGTTACTAAATGGGAGGTATGAGCAGGGTTGAATGTTGTCATATTTTCCGGGCAGGAATCGGTCAGGGTCAAACGTCTCAGCGTCCGGACCCCAGTGGCGGGGGTCCCGGTGGATCCCGTATATGCTGATATCGGCATCGCAGCCCGCTGGCAGCGTGTGGCCCGATGCTGTTTTGACACAAAAATAATATACTTAATACCAAAGGAAACTAGTGACCAGTTCAATACTACTTATTATTTAATAAGTATAACACACCTAAGATACCTCGATTGTCCCTGATGAATTTGGAAACAAACATCTTACCCTAAGGGGGGGAAATAGCAGTGATTGTGCACTCATAGATTCTGATACGGATAAAAACTTTTTAATATAAAAATTAAACCGTCGAGAAAACTGAAAAGAAAAATAATAATAAACCTTTCTTTATTTTTAGTCAAATTATATTTTGAGTCGGTGCCATGCCAACTCAAGTACTAAATAGGAATTCAGATCTATCAGACATGCATGGTAGGGTGGATCGAAAAACGTGTATTTTCTGCAATAAAATTCTAAAGCGCAAAAAACTTGCGCATGGGTGTCATTATACATTAATAAATGTAAAAGTATTTTTTTTTCAAAATTTGAAGTTACCAAAAAAGTTAAAATACCGGTCAGTTTAATAAAAATGTATAAATTACAAAAAAATAAGAACCTTTTTGCGCGTTTTCAGTAAAACAAGAATGGGTCTACATAATTATATTTTGTATGCATTAAAGACACTCTTAAAAATTTCTTTTTTTTTGTAATTTATGCATTGTTATTTAACATACCGGTATTTTGACTTTTTCGGTAAACAAAGCCTTTTGCGTGTTTTTTCTTTAACATTTTTTCATTTTTAAATACGTCTGTGTGATTTTTTTCAGTGCTATTAGAATTGTATTGCAGAAAAAACGCATTTTTCGATCCACCCTGCATGGCACCGACTTCAAATATAATTTGGCCAAAGATAAAAAAAGGTTTGTTATTTTTTTGCTTTTCAGTTTTTAATCTTTATGATAAAAAGTTGATTTAAGCATTTAACTGTTTGATTTTTAATAAAAGAAAATATTGCTAGAAAAACATCACTTGGTCCAAGTTTTCAGGCCTCGAATCCCGTCTGAAACCTAGATTTTATTCTAGTATTTTTTTTTTAGTTTCTTACGTAGTTTGGTTTCTTGCTCCACAGTTCTCGCGATCAAAGCAGAGGGACCGTAAAGCCTGAGTGATTCTTTCAGCACCCTGTCTAAATACTGCAGTTTCGGTATATCCTCCTTTGCTAAACTTCGGGTGGAGTCACTGAACACATCGTGAAGTCTGAAATACACAAAAATATTAAAACAATGGCCCATTAATATCCCCACTGCAGGAGTACAGATCTTCCTATGGATCAAAAAGGGAGAAGAGAAGAAAAATAATAAAAAAAATATTTCAAAGTTAATCCATAATATACACGTAGCACATAGCCTTAACCTTAGCGGCCCGAGGAATTTATGGGCATTTCAGGTATTTGATGATTAACAATCGACTGTCCTTCACCCTCTTGAAAAACAGTGTTATACTCTTTAAAATTCCATTAAAAACGTCTTCAAAAATATTACGTTTAAGAGGCACTTTAGCTGCTTACTTCTTGAATGCACGTAGAATATAATCTTGAAAGTATAAAATAATACCTACATGAGTTCATAAAAAACAAATCCACTAATACCTAACTGTTCCGTCATCATTTAATCGTGGTTACTTATTTAATATATATTTTTTTTAAATGTGATGTGTGAAATGTGAGAAAGATGCATCTGCGAATGTTTTTTTTTACTAGCCTAACGCAGACGGTTAGCTACAGATCACACGAGAGGACCTACGTCACTTCATTCCGCGCCCGCACACTCGCTAACATCGTATAACCATTATCTTTACGTGCGGTATACCAAACAAGTGGAATTCGTCAACAATAAACTGTGAATTTGTTAAATGACTGTGTGTGCTGTGCCCCTCTAGCTAGAAGAATACGCGGACCACAAGCTTCCGACAAAGTTTTCAAACGTGAGTACGTTACGCTATTAGCAAATCCATTCGTAATTGTGTATTTATCGTAATCTCGTTGCAGCCCCTTTTACAATCGTTTTAATTACTTATATCGGCTGCCCCCAATATGTATTCGCAATAACAATACAAGATAACAATTAAGTACTTAAATCTAAAGTTGGACAAGATATTTGTGGTTGGTGGCTAGTCAAGGAGTAAATGGTAATTAAAGCTAATCACCCTGAAGACAGGAAATCTCTATAAAGTATAAGTTGTATCCGCCAAATACCGAACGTTATAAATACACTAACCTGCAAATTAAGTATCACAATTTTAAAATTGCAATAGCCTTTTATGTACACAAGATATACTTTCGAAAGAAAAAGAACTTGAAAAAGAGTTTAATTTCGTACTTAAGTTTCAAAGAAAGCTGATACTGTTTTTTTTTTATTTTAAATCTCTAACTTCTATAATTAAAAAAAAAAGAATTTTAGGCATGCTGTACTTAGTTTTACAGGTCAGTGTTTTAATAACCAATCTTACTCTTGATAAACTTTCTCCTGCACGTCCGGATACTTGGACATCAGTTCGAAGAAGAAGCTCAGAGATATGGCCGAGGTGTCGGTGCCAGCCAAGGTTAGCGCTATCAGTTCCTGCATCAGCTCTGTGTCCGTGTACTTGATATCCTTCTCCATGTTCAGCACGAGCTCGAGGAATGAAGGGATCTTCGATTCAGTGACATCTTCAAATATAAAAAAATGCGTGCCTTGGAACACTCGGTTGGAACGTAGTTAAAAATATTTATATTACCACCCACCAATTCACACTCGGCCTGTGTATCGATCCATAGCCCAATCTCCCTATTCCATAAATAAAGTATCCTAACCACTAATTCGCACTGGGCCCAGTTCGGATTGGGCCCAGAGCGGACTGGGTTAGTACCTTCCTCTATGCTATCAATTTCTCACTATTCCATAAAAAAAAGTATCCTATTTACCAATACGCACTGCAGCCGCGTGGTGGGGTGACCCGGCCTCTATTAAATAAACTGACTCGAATTAAAAAAACATTGTGGATCAATGTGGTCAATGTATCTTACCAATTTCTTTGCCTTCAGGGTTGGTCCGACGTTTGGCTTTAATTTCTTCCCTTTTAGTCTCTACTATCTAAAATAAACAAATATTTTTAAGTTTGTATCTATTTTATTTTCATCTCCAATCTTTGTTCAACTTTAAAACCTCACCTTTAAGATAAACTCATTTACTGTTTGGCGCGCTTTGCAAAATTTAGCATATTGTGGTGACAATTTGAACATCCATTCAGGATGCTGCAGGATATTGAATATTCGTTCAGACGTAATTTCCATCATGATTTCGACTTGAACTAAAAATGGATGGTTAGGGTCTTCTTGACAGTTTACGTTTACTCCAAACGTGGTCTCTGTGAAGTAATACTAAGTGAAATATGGAATAACATCCCTCCACATCTGTGTACTAAGTTCTATCTCTAATTTCGTAAAATTTTAGCTTTACAAATTGGCAGTGTAAACGAATTTGTGTAATTCGTTTGATAAGACTTGTTCTAATTTTTAATTGAGTACGAGTACTAATTATTAATAATTAAGTACCTAACTTATATACATACTTTATTATAAGCATTGGAGCCGGGTCAAACACTCCCCAAGTCAAGCGTGCGTAAAGAAGTTTTACTTCAATGAGCTTTTTAATAAAATATAAAAATATATATATACTTAATATAAGTCACTTAATAAAACATAATATGTGAAAATTACGCTATTCGGCTAAGACTTTTGGTTTAGCAGAAAACGCAGCAAATCGCTCATTCGGTAGGCTAAGCTTTAGGCACATGTCCCACTGCCGACGATGAACGAGAAGCGAGTAAAGCTAGAAACTAGAAACAAGTTGGAGAGTACATCCCGCCAACCACCCATGGTCTGACGAACCTTTCTGGTTTTACAGGCCTACGCAGCGAGAAATAACGCGCGAAATGGCCTCCACCGCGCGTACGTTCTTGACTCCCTACAAATTACTATTTATCTGTTTCCTTTGTCTTTATGTTCCTTCTCCCCTTTCTAGGTGTCCCGTGCCTACCATGAGGTGGTACCGCTGGTTCCAAAACTCAGTCTTCCTTTTTCGCCTCGAGTCTTCACTGTTCACTTTTCTCAATTCCACTCCGAATCTTTTGCCATCTACGCGCGAAGTCCCGCAGCTGCCTGAAGTTCGCTTCCGATCCCAGCAGGTCGCGATTGTAGACCGGCCCAACCTCGAGTACCTTTATACTGTCCAGAAGCTGCCTACGCGCCTCCCCGTAGAGCTTACAATCCCACAGAATATGCTATCCCTCCTATACCTCTCCCTGCCCACAGTAGCCCACAGTGAGCAGCGGGAAGCGTGTGTTTAGTTCCGATAGTTTTATCGATGGGCTATACCACAAGCGAGTGTGCGAGTACAAAGGGCGATTAGTCGCGCCACTCGTTTGCGGTGACAGTCCTAAGTGAAAAGCACACACACGCGTTTTGACGGCCAAGCAAGCATCATTGAGCTTGCTTGGCTTTTTTTTTACAGTAAATAGGCTTACGCTTGACGGCCACGCGACTGATGAAGCGCGACGTAGCAGCCTAAGGTGGGACGCGCTTGCCTAGAAGAAACCGATTCACTCGCGACTTGAAGAGCCCCAGATTATAGGTGACTGGAAACAGAGATTCCGGCAAAGAGTTCCACAACCTAGCTGTTCTGACTATATAGGTGGAAGCAAACCCGTTTAGTACGAGTTTGTGGGACCTCTACGGTATATCTGTGGCGTTTCGCCGTCTCTCTGGTAGTTCTGTGGTAAAAAAGAGAAGGTGGAATTAAGTTATGTAACTCCAAAGCACACTCTCCGAAATGTAACCGGTAAAAAACCGATAAAGAGGCAACTCTTCGCCTGTGTTCAAGACTTTGGAGTCTAGTCTCGAATAATTTGTCGTCACCGATGAGCTTCTTTGCACGCCTCTCAATGCACTCCAGAGACTCTACCTGATATTTTGCTGAACCGTCCCAAAGGTGCGAACAGTACTCCATGCACGAGCGAACTTGTGCTTGGTACAAGGTGAGCAGCTGTTCCGGAGTAAAGTACTTCCGCACCCCGGCGAGGACGCCAAGCTTTTTTGCAGCCAGTTGAGCTCTGGACTCAATGTAGGTACCGAAGTTGAGAGTTGAGGTGAGAGTTATTCCTAGAAGCTCGAGCTGTTCGGTTACCGGCACGGTTACACCTCGGAAAGAAGGGGCCACTTGAAACGCCCTCTTTTTAGCGGAGAACAGACACGCCTGAGTCTTAGAAGCATTAAACTTGACCAGATTGGCATCGCCCCAGTCGGAGACTGCCTGAAGGGACAAGTTTAAGCGTTTGACCATGGCTTCTCGGAGTGATTGAACTTCGGCCGCACTGGCATGCGCATTTGATATATAGCTCTCTACGACTGTGCTATCGTCTGCATACCCAAAGGTACCGGGTTTAAGCAGATCGTTGATCTGGAGCAAAAAAAGAGTTGCAAAGAGTACAGACCCCTGCGGAACTCCGGCATTAACAGCCTTACGATGTGATTGGCAGCCATCTATAACTACTGTTATAAACCGATCACTCAGGAAGTTAGATATCCAGGCGCATAGTGCAGTGGGCAAGCCGTACGAAGGAAGTTTGCTTATAAGGACATATATGACTACTCTTGTCGCTTAGCGACAAAATAGTAGAGCGAGTTCTCACCGGCAGTGTGAACAGTCAGCAGAATCGGTCAGACATCAACTATTAATATATGCATCTCTCTGTTTAAACGGAATTAATATCTAATGTACGTTTCTTGAGCGAGAAAATAGCCGATAATTACAGGCTTCCTCGCCGGTGGTGGGATAGTTGCCTTATTGCTAACCCCGTCGGTATGACTTCTCAACGCTAGGTGCGTCGCTTCTTCAGAGCTCATAGCGGCGAGGCAGAGGCCGAGCCGTTTTGTAAATTTTCACCACTCGAGTCTAATGCAGATATGGATCGGTAAATGCTACTCCGCTATGCAGCTAATGATAGGTACGTTGCTATAATTAATGTTTGTAAGTGTTGAGTCTTGTACTCACCACACACTATTGCTAATTCGTATGCAGACATATATGGGAATAGTTGGAATTCACCCTTATTCACTTGTTCATCCAATTTCTCTACTAAAGTTCTACTTTTGGCAACAAATGTGGGGAAATAACTCTCCATCATCTTCGAAGTAAAAGCTGGCATCAAGATTTTTCGATGATACTTCCAAACGGGAACTGAAATGAGAAAGTTGCATTATGATTAAAATGTTTACACTAATAGGTATTTATCTTAAAAATCTAAAAATAACAACTAAGTGTTCGTCTTGCCCCAGCTAGTATCAGTCCTGAGGCAGTTGAATATTTCAAGATCTTTTCCAGATTATATGATGACCTCAGTGTTCGAGTGATAATATATACGCTGGGTTTTAAGGTGTAGGAATAGAATAAATGCCACTTTTTTAAAACAGTACCCCAAGCACGAACAACTAGCAAGAAAGTACCAGTATCGCCTGGTGAAGTGTCCATGGATCCCCCCTGATCCTGAGGGACCTTCAGTCACTCAGTTTCAATCCGATACGGGTGTATATAAGATTGCCACCGTCCTCTAGCACACTATGCAGTAGTATTTATCTACTACGGCAGCGTCGCATCAACCCCTTCTCAGGGGATGAACGCATACGAAGCCTGTAAGGCCCATATGGCCATAGGCACCCCCCATGGGTGTTTTAGTCAGTAAGAGTCTGAGTCTCATGGATACTCCATGAGGATTTCACATCCGCTCCCCCGCCTGGGAGGAAACAAAAAACGTTTAAATGGAAAAGGCTACTTTATTCTTACTTCCGGTAGGGACGCTGCTTAATTTCCATAAAAATTTTGACGTTGGCGATACGAATACGGATTTTTCAAATTTGGTGCTTGGGGTGCGCCCACGCCTTGTGAACTTTGTGTTGGAACTAAATTGAAAGAAATAGAAAGAAAGAAATAATTTATTGGCCAACAAACAAAGCATAAAAAAACAAAAAAAAAACTGAATAAGGTCAACTAGGTCCCTGCCTCAGCGACAACGACACTAAGGCCGCTGCGGCGCTAATTGAAAGCTATACTAACTACCTATACCTAGTTAGGTCATAAATTCTGTCACAAGTTTAATATAAAATAATTGAAACAAGGTTATTCATTATGTAACCATTTATGTACCAAAATGAACTTAACAAAACATAGATTCTTATGACAATATATAGTTTATTCAAAATGACCTGCGTGATTTTGAATACAGGCCTTCAATCTGCGCGGCTAGTCGTCTATGCAGCACGAACGAGGTCCATGTCAATATCGGCGGCTGCCTTAATCAAGGATGTCTTGAGTGACTCCAAATAGGGACGAGGCTTTGAGTACGCCTTTTCCTCCAAGTGTTGCCATATCTTGTAATCTAACGGACTCAAATCTGGACTGGAGGAGGGCCAGTCTTCGTGCCAGATGAAGTCGATTTCACGCGCCGCCAGCCAGTCTTGTGTGCTCTTTGCTCTATGAGCTGGCGCCGAATCTTGTTGGAATACCCAGTGCCTGTTATTGAACATGGTATGAGAAACAGGTTCCACAAGGTTCGTCAGGACTGTATTTTGATACACAACTGCATTCGTTTTTCACACATTTTTCACAAAAATGTACCTCTGTTAAGCCCCAATAAGAAACTCAAAACCATACCATGAGCGAGGATTAAAAATGACCTCGTTGGACACGCGGAATACAGTTACTCGCTTCTGCACTACTGTGTGCGTATACATTTTGTTTGTTGTAGACCTCTTCTACGGTAAAAATTTTTTCATCCGAAAAAAGAATTTCCCTTCAATAAAGTGCGGCATCTCTTCAGTCTCAGGTCCATTAGACGAGCATTCAAACGATGTCCTGTTTTTCTTCGATATGCCCGAAGCCCTAAATCTTCATTTAACACTCTTTTCACCGTGGTTCTGCTTAACCCCATCTGAAGGGCCAACAGTTTCTGCTTACGTTTGGGATTTCTTTGAATTCGCGCCTTCACAGCTTTTATCACTGCTGGAGTCCTAACAGACCAACCACTTCTTGACCTGTCATCTACACTAGAGTCTTCATTGTATCGTTTGATGGTACGATAAACGAATCTTGGTTATATTCAAATTTTACAGTGTGGCTAAAAATTGACTTGGCGCGTAACCGCAACGATGCAACGCAATAACTGCAACACGGTCTTCTTTAAGCGTCCACTCCATATTTAAAAATGAGTAAAATTCTAAAAAGTATACATTTTTATTTTCACTGTGTGACAATACTTATGACCTGACTGTGTATATATACACCGTATGAATTTTGAGTTAACCGAGAAACTTAAAAATAGTGTTAATAAACATAGTGCGAACAGTTATAAACAGAAAAAGTACCAAAACCCCAATACAAAAATGTTGATTTATATCGTTTACATAAATCGTAAAATGGCACAACTTTGTAAATAACATACCTATTATGGAATTATTATCCGTTTAAAGTACGCAGATCGTAAAAGTAGTTAGTTCTATTTGAATCAATTTATACTAACTAAAAACTGTTAAGGTATCATAGCTGCAGAAATATTGAGTGTAACGTGAAGACATTTTTCGAAAAATATAATTACCGAAAATATAATGCGGATATAAAATTTAAATCGTTGTCTGAATTAACTGGTAAAGTTTTTCAGGTAACTCAAATTTTACGTTGTATAATATTAACACGAATCAGACATTTTTTTTATAACACGTATAAATAATAAATTGCAAGTAAATTTACTTGCCATTTATTATTTATTCTTGTTATACTTTGACAAAACTGTATTGAATTCGATACAGTTCTGTCAAAGTCATGTCGGGAATTTAGCTAAGCGCATTTCATTAACCATTCTACTTTATATGTAGAATTAATTTGAAAGAAAAGTTAAAAACTACTTGAATATCAACTCCCGAAATGAGAAAAACTTGTATTTTTTGAAGTCATACAGGTTTAATACATTTATACCTGGAGCATTTAAGGTACTCTTGCCAATGAAGCTCCCCAATAATGCATATGCGGTAGTTTTCGCCAATTGGGATTTCAGTATGACTTCTGCATCTTCTGTGTCAGTTATCACTGTAACAATATAGAACAAATAAATTCTGACACTAATAACAGAAAATCGGTATCCGTAAAAAGGAAAAGTAAAACTTACTGTAATGTAGAGTAGGCCCAACCCAAAATTTTACGAGTCCTCCGTTCTCTATACTTTGGTAACTAAAGTCCTTTAGCGTCTTGTAGATATCTACAACAAAGTAGGTACTTACTTTAGAAAATGATCACATTTGGTACTGACAGTCAAAGAAAGCTGATGAGTCTGCTCAGTTACTTTTAGGCGGCAATCTTTCAATATTCAATCTAGGTAATGATAGTAGGTAATTCACAACCCCAAACTATGTAAATCGAGTTAAACAGCCGTACGACAGGTTTATGCTGTCACTTCGATGGCGATAACAATAACACGTCCTATTGACAAACAGCTCTGAGTGTGGCTGTTAGTCATTCTTTTCTAATGAATCTCCCCATCTACCTTTTATATTTTTTTTCAGAGGTAAGGTTAAGAACGCAATCCATACTTGTGACTATGCGTTCACCCTTGGGGGAACGAGTGCTGACGCGTGTGAGGTGACTTGCTTGCGAGCCACCGTCACCCGGTTTTTGGTCGCGCGTCAAAGGGAACGCGCACGCCTGGGTACGCTCTTTTTGGACGGTTTAATGGACGCATTGAGTTTCAATTGTAAATAATAAAATGACAGCCTGGGCACGTGTAGCGCTATGGATCACTCGGCCTCGCGTTCAAGTTCACGGCGCAGTCTGTACAGGAGCTAAACGCGTATCTGATGAGGCCAGCGTGCCCCGGACGCGTAATGCCTCCCTTCACGTCGACAGATGCGTCCGCAGACGTCGACAGATGTATCAGCAGATGGATCTCCACGAGCCGACCACACGTCTGACGACGTCTGTAGGTCATTCAGTCTGTGCTTACTCTACAGGTGCAACACGTTCGCATGCATTTAACTACTATTTGATGTGCATGTGCAGGTACATCGCAGTAGAATTATTAAAAAGAAATGGAAAAGGAGAAGGTGGTGACTGCTGGCTTTTCCGGATTCCACAGATAGTTTTCTGCTTGAATACAACTCTATAACAAGGTTTTTAAATGTTTCGTTAGTACTTATAATATTATTCATTTCGGCGAACGACAGTAACAAACGAGCAAAAAATAAATTGCAAGCACGAGCCACTCTCATTCCATCCGCAGATGGCACCTGCAGATGCATCGGCCGACGTGTAGAGAAGGCAAACGAAGTATCGCGAAGACGACTACGCATGCCTTGGAACGGGCTAACCATATCCATACATACATTATATGTAAGACTATTTTCGCTAGTTCGCTACCTCCGCCTTGTTATAAGAAAAAATAAGAATAGGCCGACCCCCTACTGTTTACGTAATAATCTAAAGGAATGTATTTTGTTACCATCTGTGATATATGTGTCGTGGCCATATCGTAGATTTGCTCACTTCATGAAATGGTCACATTTCATGATGTGGCCAACTTAATTTGACCAGATCATTAAATCGTCAACATTTAACGATTTGGCCATCCACATTTGGCCGGATCGTATAATTAGGGTGTCCATAAAATATTTATTAAAAATCCAGAATATGTAAGAACTTGTGTATTGTTATTTAAGTCCGAATGATACAAACAAATTTAATCAAATTTTTGTAACAAAATAAACAAATTAAAGTTTTTTTTTCCTAAATTATTACATCAAACATGTCAAGAACTTACACATTTATATTTAGAAAACTATTAAATATTTATGAATAATAAGGTACTTTGGTACATATTACAATAGCAGGCTTAACTGTTCTTCCAGGGCCCAAACGGTAATACTTCACACTAGGTTAGTGTTGTGACCATGACGCGCGAGCCGAGCGAGCAAAGCGAGCGTGCCGCGGCAGCGGCCGGCGAAGCGTCAGAAAAAAAACTCTATTAAAAGAGACCTTTTCTACAAAAGAAATTCAAGTATCACCTCTTAGGCCCTGGAAGTACAGTTTTACAGTATATCTATGTACGGCATTGATTCTCATCCGCACTTTGTACCTCAACCGCAGTTTCCAAAATGTCATATTTTGACAGCCAGTAATAGTGTTAAGTATGGTATACTTTTATATATTTTATTTCTATGGCAACACTGTATTACTTGTTCCTTCCGGTGACATTACTGTAACTTTACGTTTGTGCTCTTCAGTATAATAAAAACAAATGAATAAAACAAATCCAGTTTTATTGCCAGTAATTCATAATTAACATGGTAGCAGAGCGTGGTTTAAAGAAATGATAAATTCAAGTGCAAATAGTGTCGACGATATATAAATACAAAAAAGAAAAATTAAGAAGCTCATTAAAAATGGCGTACGTAAAACAAAATGATATTATAATTCCTATTTTTGACGGAACCGAATATAATAACTGGAAGATAAGATTATTAAAATTTCTACAATATAAGAAATGTCAAGAGGTTGTGTTACGTGAAAAACAACAAAAAGATGATATAAGCAACTGGGACGATTTAGATATTCAAGCTACAAACTACATTTATTCCGCCATTACGAACAAACAATTAGAATACATTAGTCACATAAATTCATCATACGAAATAATAAAAAAGTTTGATGAGATGTACGTAAATAAATCGACATCATTGCAAATTGTATGTAGAAGCAATATCGAGAATATTAAACTGAAAAACTTTGCTGATATAAACAGTTTTTTCGATGAATTTGAAAAAGGGATAAACGAGTTGAAACAAACCGGCGCCATTGTATCTGAATCAGAAAAATTAAATTACATGTTAAAAGAATTACCACCAAGTTATAGTCATATTGGAGATTTAATAGATATTTTGCCCGAAAAAGAGAGAACCGTAGAATACCTCAAATCGAAAATAAAAATGAAAAATATAGAGTGTAAAAGAAGAAATTCAAGTGAATTTCATAATGAAAAATCAAATGTGTATAAAGCAAATATAGACTATTTCAAGACAAATACTACATTTCATTCATGTGTAATATGTGGAAAACATGGACATAATAAAATAAATTGTTGGTTTAATAGTGCAAATAATCATCATGGTCGAGGCAGAGGAAATATAAATTTTAGAGGTCGTTATATGACAAGCCGACGTGGAAACAACATGAGAAATAATTATAGAGGTCAAAACCAAACTCATGAACGTCCAGGAAATAGTTTTCACACTACAATACAAACTAACATGTCTACTCGTATGACTAAACAAACTGAAAATAAAAATGAAATTATATGGCTACTAGATAGCGGATGCACAGACCACATCATAAATTCTGATCAATATTATAGCAATTTTGTACAACTAGATAAACCAATTAATGTGAAAACTGGCGATGGAAGAATATTACAAGCTACTAAGGTTGGAGAGAGAGAGAGATCCTTGGGGGAGGCCTATGTCCAGCAGTGGGCGTCATACGGCTGATATGATGATGAAGGTTGGAAACATAAATGTTTATTTTCAAGTATATGATAAAATATTTCAAGTGAATCTACAAAATGTATATTATGTAAAAGAAATGAAAGCAAACTTATTAAGCTACACAAAAATAACAAATGCACATACAATTACATCAAGAGGCTATTTGACCAAAATATATAAAATGACTGGAGAATTAATTGCAATTGCTAAGAAAGAAGAAAGTTTATTAAAAATGACTAGTTACACTACAAAAGAAAATATAAAAATAAATATGGCAAAAAGTATACTTACAGAAAAAGAAAAATTACATAGAACTCTCGGACATGTAAATTTTAAATATTTGGAAAAAATGTGCAAGAACAAATTACTGGAAGGAAAACCAAATGAAATAGAAAAAGATTATCTTAAATGTGCTATATGTATAGAAAATAAAATGCATAACTTACCTTTTAAAAATAATAGAAGAAGAGCAGAAAATATTTTAGACATAGTTCATACAGATCTAAATGGTCCTCACAAAACAATGGGATGTTATGGTGAAAGATATTTCTTAAGTTTTATAGATGACTACTCAAAATTAGCAAAAGTTTATTGTATCAAATCAAAACAGCAAGTTTATGAATGTTTTGTTGAGTATGTGAATGAAGTTCAAAATTGAACTGGTAAAGTCATAAAAGAGCTAAGATGCGATAATGGAAATGAATATTTAAACTCAAATGTTTTAAATTTTGCCAAGGAAAAAGGAATAGTATTAAAACCATGCCCAGCATATGTTCATGAGTTAAATGGCACTGCAGAAAGATTCAACCGAACAATTATGGATACAGCTAGATGTTTATTAAGTGAAGATAAGATAGCAAGATGTTATTGGCCAGAGGTTATAAAAACTGCAGCATATTTGAAGAACAGAACCATAACTAATACTATAGAAAATAAAACTCCATATGAAATATTTTTTAACGGAAAACCTTCAATACAGAATTCAAAATTATATGGAAGCAAAGTGTTTGTAAGAATACCTGAAGAGAAAAGAGTATCGAAATGGGACAAGAAAGCTGAACTAGGAATATTACTAGGCTATACAGATACAGGATACAGAATTTTAATAAATAATAAATTAGTTACTGCAAGACATTTAGACATCATAGAAGAAGATATAAAATGTATAGGATTAGATGAGACAAAAGAAAGTTGTGAGTCAGAAGAAAATACACAGATCGAAAGTGAAAAGACAGCAGAAGAAATTAATGACAGTGATTCTAGTATTGAACAAGACATAAATATAACAGAAAGAAGAACAAAGAGACAAATAAAAGCTCCATCACGATTTGATGATGAATTTGGATATTATTGCATAACAGCAAATTATTGTATCCAGATACTTTTCAGAAGGCGACTACATGTGAAGAGGCACAAAGTTGGAAATGTGCAATGGATCAAGAAATTTATAGTCTTGTAAAGAAAAACACATGGCAATTGGTAAACAAACCTATGAATAAAAGAATATTAGATGTAAAGTGGATTTATAAGAAGAAAGCAGAAGGATTATATAAAGCAAGGTTAGTGGTAAGAGGCTTTCAGCAATTAGAAAATGTAGAAGATACTTATTCACCTGTAGCTAATATGCAAACATTAAAATTATTATTGTCTTATTGTTGTCAAAATTCAATACTTATACATCAAATGGATGTTGAAACAGCATTTTTAAATGGGAAAGTAATTTCAG